ATGCTTATTTTTAAAAAATGACAGTCCGATGATCTTAAGATCACCATTTATATATGACAAAGAAAATGAAATGGTTTATAACATTGACAGTAGACAAAAAAAAAAAAAAAAAAGAAATCCCTTCTACTTAATAATTTTAACAATATTCAGCATATGTGGCCTTTAACCATGAGACTTATTTGAGGGAGAGCCTGTTTCTGATGGAAGACACCACGTCTCATTTTCTTTGTATCCTCCATACCACAGAGCAAAGTGCCTTACTCACAGTAAGTATTTAATGAATGTGTGTTAAATGAATTAAAATTAGGAAAAAAAAGGACGACAGTTACCTGAAGTCACAGACTTAATTGAAGCAACTATAAAAAGGAAGCCAGGTGATTTTTTTGGCCTTCCAAAAATATACGGTAGTGTGATCTGTTTCGTCTCCTTCCAGCCCCAATTACCAATGAAACGTTTTACTATCAAATTTACTAAATCACACATTAGGTTTTCTCCCTAAAATCATTTTTAATAAGTTTTAGAGTGGGGCAGAAACCAATAGCATAAGGAACTGAACTCTAAATTAGCAAGTCGCACATCCCATGTGGCTGCCTGATACTCCGTGTTGGCTCTGAAAGATTTCAAGTTCCCGGTTTCCCCTATTTTATAACTACCAACTTTTCATCATTATAGGCAAATTTTGTTTCCTTTACTGTGCCAAAAAAAAAAAACCCCAACAAAGATCGCTAGACAAGTAATAACAGGGCTCATACGTCTTCCTCTTTAATAGTCCTGTACTGTGACGGGCACGGCTGCTTGAGTATTTCTTCCCACTGACCATCTTCAATCAGCTCTTGATCCACTTCTTCGGCGGGCAGATCCTAAAGCAGAGAACAGGAGGACTGCTGAGGCTGTTTAGTGTTTACAAAGTAGTCCTTGTCTCAGCACCAGAGCAACGCGGCATCCTAGGTTTCTCTAGTCCTGCCATTATTATGTTTAGAGCTTTAAAGCAAACCGAATGAAACTGCAAGAACGACCATCAAAGCTGGTCACCAAAAATGGCTCATCAAAGTTGATTACAAAGGTCCCAACTTCATTATCCTGAAGAGAGTTTAGAAAGAAAGGAATTTTGAAGTATTATAAACCTTTTTAAATAAGTGGCTCTGACATCAGATACGTCTACGCTCTCAATTACATGAGATGGCACTTCCTTCACTTTCACAGTGTTATAGTCTTTGGATAAGGAAGCAAGTATACCTAATTTAAATTAAAAAAAATTAAAAAAAAGCAAAACCCATTCAAAGTTCTAGAACATGGCCCATTTTATAGTTTGTGTGCTAGATATTATAACAGTAACCACATCTTCGATGGTCAAGAATTGAGACATCTGACCTAGAAACGGACCAAAATATTTCATAGACATTTCCTTCAAGTCCAAGGGATATGATAATGATGTTGTGTTAAAATGTTACACATAATGCTTGAAATCATAATAGTGGTGTGTAAATCATTAAAGCGGCAATTATAAATCCATACAGTGCACAGGCATTAAAAGCCTATTATATCCCTGACGCGTCTTACCTCTTCCCCTATGATTGTTAGTTTGGGGAATTTCCGCGCCAGTGAGGAGCATATGCTCATTTGTGCCAGTCGGTCAGCTTTGGTCTGCAGGTCCGTTGGACAGGTCTGCAACAAAGAATGCAAATTTTAGCAGAACTAAAATAAGTCGTCTGGATTCCTAAGGCATGAATGTCTATATCATTTAAATTACGCTGCCTGTTTTTAGATTCATGGAACTTAACACTAAAGGGGTCAACGAGTCTCCTGGCTTGCTTATTCTCATGGGAGTTACAGTGGTTAGAGTTTGTAAAGGAGCTTTTAAATCATTAAACATTTTCTCCCTCGGTTCAGAAATTCCTTTCACAAGATCTCAAGATCAATCTTTTGCTTAAACAGATTAAGGGATAGGAGATTCATAACTTTTCAAGGCAGTCAAAGCTAAAAACTGTAAGTTCTGTTATTTGAAGTATTCCTTATATAGATCCTTCTATAACTTCTACTCACTCATCCTAATTCTAATAATTCAAGAGGTCCGCAGGACGATTCACTGGTGTATAGAAAAACTTATTTCTAAAATATAGAAATGAATGGCAGTAATGCTTAATATATAGCTCACCTATGGCACTCTCAATCCATACGTCAGACAGTCGTGCTAGTAAAAGACAGTGGAAACTCTTGCAATTGACAGCCACAACCTTCTTTGTCAGTTTGCTCTAAGGGAATTATGGGATGCTGCAATTTATGTATGCCTGCTTAGGTAAATTTACACATTATCTTAAACAGCAGAATTTTTACAATGCTTTGCAATGAGCTAAGGAGTGATCGTGAAAGTCAACCCTTTTATGCCACATTGAAGTTTGCTGGTTATCTCAACGCAAAGTACTATTCTGCTAGAATGCAGTGCCACGAAGGCAGAGATCTTTGTTTTATTCCCTAAAGAATGATGTCTGGCACACAGTGAGTGCTCATAAATATCTGTTGAATCAAACATCTTAAAAGAATTGTTCAATGTGAAGATGACTTATATATCAATCAAATTTAGATATCACTGCTCTAGAGAAAAAAAAGACACACTGACAGCCATTTAACTACAGAAGGAAAGGAACTCCAGCTCTTTTCTTCTCTAGGATAAATATTTCCTGCTCGTTCTACTGGCATTCTGCCATCTCAATAAGGGAACCACCGATTATTTCAACTGTTAAAGCCTATTCAGATTATTACATCCTTGAGCTAACCATCAAGGAACAAAAATGAAGTTCGTATGAGATGAGGCGAGATGAGATGAGATGGGATGAGGTATTATCAGTACCTTCTCCACAATACCCAGGTCTCCTTCGGCAATAACACGTCTGACTATCGTTCCTGCCTTTTGAGCAATGGAGTACGCTGAGGCTACCAAACGCATCAACACAGTGTGACTGGAAGCCATGACAAACCCTACAGGGAAATTGAGAGAATGTTGTTACTTTCAAAGCCAACTACTGGTTTCCGTTACTTGGATTCAATTCAACACATTTATTTATTGAGTGCTTACTTGGGAGGGTCTACCCCAATAAACTGTGTGGATTCTTCAATAAATATTTACTAAAAGGGACTTGTAAAAAACTCCATTTCAGCATTAGCTCGCTCAATTCTACAGTAGTCTTTCTGCGTGCAGATGGGACATTTTCAAGCATGGGGGAAACTGGCCCAAGCGTATAAGAGCGTGAAAAAGTTTTATGTACGAGATGCATAGTATGCAAAGACTATGGAAGGCATTCCAGGGGCTAAAAATATATAACATCTGCCTTGAAGAGCTAATATTTTGGTGGGTTGGGGGTAAAATATTGAAACCTAAAGTCTATAAATAAAGCTGGTGCCAAGAAAGATATGAACAGCATAACGGGTATGGGTATATATGGGGAGTAATTAAAAACAGGAGGGAATGCATATGGTTACAATTAGTTACTGGAAAAGCAATGACTAGTCCTTTAATCTGATTATCACCAACTTCATCAGTAACCAAATAAAGAGAACAACCAACATAACTAATCGGAATGAAGACCAATCATGTAGAAAAGCAGTGAGTGTCAGAATAGTTCCAGGCCCCAGTGAAAAAATAGGGAGAAAACAGCCTTTAGGATCAAGTATAATTCGTCTTTGAAAATACACATGCAAACCCTGCAATTGTAGTGACTGTTCTGCTGCTGGGATGCACCACCTAGATTCCCTTCTAAACATTTCTCAGCTGCTGAGTCTTGCCAACGGATGGCCATTAGCTGCCACCTTTCTTTGGGAATTTATCCGCTTAGAAGAGCCACTTCACCTGAAACTGGACAACCAATGGATGTAAAGGCCACTCCCCACTCGTCCTGGGCGGCTGCCCCAACTCTGATGGGCCATCCTAGCTTCTGAATGTCCAGAGCAGTAAGCTGAGGCCTTAGCTGAGACTGCATCACCACCCAACTTCTCCCCCATGCTCCTGCGCAGTCCTACTTCCCCCCATTCCCTCCCACAAGTGATCCCAAGAATACTCCCCAATTAATCTCTTGCACTTTTTCGCTGTCAAAAACTCTTCCTCCCTCTAATCAAATCAAGTCAACATTATCTCAGAGCGAGAAGGGAGCACAATACAGAATACAAAGGACATTGTAAACCTCAATTCAGCAATAGTCATCATTCTGCCACTAATTTCTGACTCCATATTTGAATTGATGTGTCTTTTACCCTCTTTTCATCTTTTTTTCTATCATTCCATATTCTATTCACAGGGATCATGATCATAAATGAGACAATAAACAAGTGACGTGTCTGAAACCCTTCAGAAAGAAGACAGAACTGAAACTGATGTGCGATAATGAATACCATATTGCAACCAACAGCAGTCTGGAATTAAAGATGAAAATAAAGTGAGTTTCAATGAATTTGAATTCTGTTTATCTTATGACATCATAATCAGGCTATATTCACTTTCTTGGTATACTAAGTGTTACACCTGGAAAAACTGGTTATGATAATTACTCATTCAGGAACACCTCAAAGTGAAAACAGGAGAAATAATTTAGCAAACACTTTGTTGGCCTTCGCTCCTCTCCCTTGTATCTATGACCAGCCGTATGATTTATTTTGTACTGGAAAAGGCAGTCTTCAAGCAACTAATCTGTACTAACCAGATGTCTTAACCGCTGAAGATATTTTAATGTGTTGGTATGCATATTCAGTCCCCATCTTGTATAAGATGATTTGTGAAAGGCTGGTCAGGTTCTCTCACTGTACGGTGTTGTTCTAACCGTTGACAGACATCATTTACCTTTGAGCCAGTTAAGCAAGCTTCATATATCGCTAAACCACTTCCCTTTATGTTTGCCAAGTCCACAGTATTTTCTTAAAAAAAAACCCCAAAACGTTTAGGCTTTGTCTTTCTACTATATTCTTCATGAAATGTATACTATATTTATAAACCACCATTTAAAGCTAACATCAGTTTTCAGTTAAAAAATTAGGTTTGGTGCAAAGCACAACAATGAATTGTAAAGAGATCTGCAAATCACTTTTTGTTGGCAAAGAAGAAAATATTTCTACCATTTTTTATGAAGTACGTCTTTGGTCCAAACTGAATTAGTAATGAAATATTACAATCCTCAAGCCTTAATATTTTTTCTTACATATTTTTAAACCAATGAATATAATTTTGGGTATCTGTATAAAGAAAATGTAGCTAATTACATTATCAAAATGCAAAATCTGTAAATGAGGTTCCTGTTAGTCTTTTTAATTGTGCCCCTTCCCACGCCCCATTTGAGAATTACCTGTTGATGGTACAAGTAGATACAGAACAAGGCCAAAAAGCTACCTGAATGTTGATCACTTCCTTACAGCAGTTCAGCTTACACTCACTGCACTTCCTTCTCTACCAGTTTTATACCTCTGGGTCCTAAAACATTACCTCTGTGAACAGGTCTTTCTGTTGTGAACATGACTTTCTGAAAGCTAACTCAAAAACAGCATAGTGGTTAAAGGCACAGGTATTGGAGCCAACTGCCCGTGTTCAAATCCTGTGTGACCTTAGGAAAGCCACTGAAATTCTCTGTGCCTTAATCTGTAAATCATATTGGTTTATCACATTACATGCTCAGGGTCAAAAGAATGTTACAAAAGCAATAGAAGGGCAGTGCTAAGGGCAAAAAAATTCCTATTGCTTTGGCAACATTATTTTGACCTTGAGGATGTAATGTGATAACCAACATGATTTACAAATGAGCTCGTTGTGACATAAAGGGCTTTTATATATCAATATGTAAAAGAGGGATAATAGAAAAATGAGCAAAGGACGCGAACAGGTAATGCCTAGAAAAAGAAAAGCAACGGCTGTTAAATACATGAAATGCTCAACTTCACTAATTATGAAAGACATTCAAACTAAAACAGTGGGAAACGATTGTTCATTTTTAAGACTGGCACAGATAAGAATGTTTACCCAATGTTGGCTAGTGTGTGAGGGCACATTCTCCTGAACATTGTTAGCAAGGCTGTAAAGTGGTGAAATTTCTTGGAGGAATTATGAAAATCTTATTAGAAGCAAAATGTACACATGTATATTGTAAAAGTAAAATATGCAATTATGTATATTTTCAGGGAAACGAAAATAAATCAAGCAAGTCTACAAATACTAGGAAAGACAGTACGAAGAATGTCTGCTATTTTAATGAAATTTAATTTTAGGCCTAAGAGTCTCTAAATTTGGGTGCTGTAACCAACCTACTGCCTAGGTTTGCCTTGTTTCTACAATGTATAGCCATAAGAAGACCTCGGAGCATGAAAATAAAACCACAAATACACAATTAAAATGCTGACTCTCCCGAATCTAGGTCCGAAATAGGAATATCTGGAGAAGCAATCACAGTCACGTTGAATTTTTTTTTTTAACATAAATCCCTGAATCTCTGCAAATCTGTGCAAAGGGGTGGAGTCAGGCAACCAATAAACGCTTCGGACCTGCCTATCATCTGCCCTTGCCCTGACCGCAGAGGAGAAACTTACTTACGGTGACAAGCCTGCAACAAAGTTAGGCGAAAGACACTTCAGGGATAACCCCCCAAAAAAGCGTTATTAAGCAACAGGTCCCTCGTGGCGTCCAGTACGACTTCCTTCTTGTCACTAGGACGTCTGTGGACACCCGACAAACCTCCCTCAGCTACTGCGCATGCGGAAAACTCGGCGCAGGCGCAGGGCAGGAACGGCCCCGCTGCCCAGTTCGACTCCCGACCCGCCGAAAACTCCACTTCTCCGGGTTTTCTTCAAGCTCTACGTAGGCGCTAGTTGCTTGAAGTCAAAGTGAGAGGTGTGTCTACCTGTTAAAAATTCATTCAGCTTTCCCTTGTCTTTTAGCCAGCTTTGTACACATAGTTCACTCTTACAGTGTTACTCCGGTTCGTGATCTCGCCCAACTGCGGCGGGCAGCAGCTTAACCTAACCACGACACCTCCATCGCCCCTCCCAACAACAAAGCAACTTTAAGCAGAATTGTTACTAGTGCTTACCTTTTTTTTTTAAATTTTAATTTAATTTAATTTTTTATAGCATTCATCATATTCTTAAATGGGTCTGTGACCCTTTGCATTTGCCTGCAGATTAAGTCCTGGGAGATTGCCTCTCTTCCTAGTCAGGTGACCAGTTCAATGGCTTTTTTTTTTTAAGGCTCAGAAGACATTTACGATTTTTATTGCACTGCCAAAAGTTAAAAACAGGCAAAACCAAAAAACTGTCTTTTTTATTCATTTAGGCATTCACCATATATTTGAGGAGCACCCTTGTACCTGCTTTGTATTGGGTGCCGGTGGGGGCCAGGTATGCGATAAGAACAGCAGAGCAAATAGCCAATGATTCTTTTTTCAGTATTGAAAATCAAGGCACTGATTAGACTATAACAAAGCACAGTAGGATGTCAGAGTTGACAGTAAACATACCATAACAGTAAATGTAAATTGCTTAAACTCCTCCACTTGAAGACAAATGCTTCAATTGATTAAAAAACCAAATCCACTACAGGTATATACCTCATTTTATTGTGTTTCACTGGTGGTTATTTTTGTTTTTTTTTTTTTAATAAATGGAAGGCAAAACTTTGCGCCAGCAAAAAGATTACAACTTGCTTCATTGTGATACTTGCTTTATTATGGTGGTCTGGAACCGAACCTGCAGTATCTCCAAGGTATGCCTGTATTTTATCAGATACAGTAAAATTCAGAACAAGAAAAATTATCAAAAAGAACATTTTGTATTGTTAAAGGTGTCCTTTATATCAATTAATGATCCGAGAAGGGTTATACAGGAACAACTCCTGTGGTTAACTGGGCTCGATTCATAACCAGAGTTTAGCAGCCATTGCTGGCAGAGGCCTGTCATGCACTCTGCACTACAAGGGAAAGCCACAGACTGAGTTTCCAGCCTTCTGTACTGTGCTCCTGCCATCTGAGCCCACCCTTAAAAAGAAGTTCCAGGTATTGTCTTTCAACTAATGGGCTGATACCTGTCCCAAGCAATTGGAAGAGCACACCTATATCCTCATTTGTATCTTTACTGACCAATCACAATGTCCATTATAATTATGACCAATCAGGGCAGTGTCATTTGGACCAATCAAACTGCAAATTTGGATTCCTCATTTGCATAAAATTGGTCCAATCTGGGACCAGGGTGGGTGCTTGCTCTATAAAATGGGCTGCCCTATTTTCTGAGGGGAGCATCCTTTTAGTTTCCTCTGGAGGCTGCTGTTTCCCTGGTGGGCAAACTCTTCAACTGACTAAAGCTCCTCCTTTTACTGCACCCCAGATTGGGGACTCCTGTTGGCACTGAACTGTGTTGACACAATAAAGATACTGCTTTATTTTTAAACATTTTAAAATTAAATAAGTAACTTATGACTACATCCTTAAAAAAATGCAAAGAATACAATCTGTCTAGGCCCTTTTTTGGAGCATGGGTCTTTAGACTGGAGTTTTGTTTTAACTCTGGATAATGCAGAGCGTAATGTACCATCTAGTTTTGAAATTTAGATACTTATTGAAACTCTAAGCACAGAATCCTTATAAATTTCTCCCCACCATTTTACACTTGTTTTAGCTTCACCCAATTCAACAGCAATTTGTTTTTGGTTTTTAGAGACACGTCTTTACTGGGCTTTCCAGAGCTTTCAGCTTTTCATAAAAGCAATTACTTTTGCATTAAAAAAAACCCAAAACATTGGTTTCGGGGAGAGAGTAGTTAGTGAATGATTTTTGTTTCCGTGTGCTTTTATGTAACTCCCAAAAGTGAGTAATAAGAAACTAACAATTTCTATATTTTAAAAGCTCATTAGAGAGCACTATCAGTAAATGGCTACCATTACGTGGAGTTCTAGTTTGTGAGGGCTTTTACCTACACAACCTCATTTGATTTTCCTAATAACTCAACGAGCTAAGTAAAATCATTTTCTTGTAAAAAAACATGTAAGAAAATTTACCATTTTAATCACACGCCCATGAAGAGAAAATGCGAAATATTTATAATTTTATAGCAATTACATGTTGAAGTGATAATATCTTGGATATACTGGGTTCAATAAAACTATATATTTTTTAAAAAGGCAGGGCGCTCTGATTGAAATAGAAGCCCCTTCTGCAGCCACACCTGCCTACACGTTGCCCCGCCCCTCGGAGCCAGCCCCGCCCCGCGGCGGCTGCAGCGGTGACCCGGAGCTGGCTGTTCTGTCGCGGACTCGGGGAGGCCGTACTCCCCGCCCTTTCCGTGTCCTGCGCGCATGCGCACTGCTACGAGGCGTGCAGGGGTGTTTTTGTGTGTGGTCCCTGTTAGTGAGATCCCAGGCGGGAGCCGAGGATCCGGCTGCCCGGGGGGAGGTGGGGTTGGCCCGCCATGCGTTGGGAGCTGCGCCCTCGCGGGCCGGGGCCAGCGGCCCTGGCTGTGGCCTGGAATCTGTGGGGGCCGCTCCGCCTTCCCTGTCGCCCGGGGTGGCGTGGGATGACGAGGGGGCTTTTGGTGCGCCCGATTACCGGGGCCAGTAACCAGTTGCAGAACTCGAGTAGCGGCCGGTATCGGGACACAGTGCTGCTGCCCCAGACCACCTTCCCCATGAAACTGCTGGGCCGCCAGCAGCCCGACACGGAGCTGGAGATCCAGCAGGTACGGGCCCCGCCTCTGCGCCGCATGGGGACTCCGCGGGGAAACCGGCCCGCCCGGGAGCCGGCTGGTACTGGGCCACGGACTCCAGGCTCCCTTGGGCAGGGCGTGTTGTGACCAGATCAGTGGAAACCATCTGCTTCCCTCAGGTTTGATTGACTGAACACTTAAACCCGTAGGTAAGTCCCTAAGTGGTTGCAGGTTCCAGAGCAGAGTATTCACAGGGAAACTAGCGATGCTCGGGTAGCAGCAGCACGTATTAAATGTGAGTCCCATTTTTAGCTTAGGCAAAACAGATCGAGTGTGGATAACATTCCAAGTGGCTTGTAAAAAGTAAATGAACATGTGCACAAAGAAATAGCTCGATTACGAGGACAGTGGAGGCTTACCTGTGGTAGTAGTAGGTCTGTAGTTGGAATTATGACTTGTTTGCAGGATAAAGTAGCGGTACTTCCTTTCTCTGCGTGCTCTTCCTAAATTAGGCGTCGGTCTCCTGTTTTAGACTGAACTTTCTAAGGGTAGAGAGTCACTTGTTAACTTCTCTAATTCTAGAGTCTTTAAAACCCCTGACATTGAGGATATATGGGTTAAGCAGATATGTTAGCTTCAATGTTACGACAGTTATCAGAGTTCTATATTCAAACCTAATTTTTAAAAGTACCTTAAACATTTTTTTTTCCTTTAATCCAGTACCTTCTGTATGCCAGGAACTGACAGCTTCAAATGTTTTCTCGTTCATCTTTACACCAAATGGATAGTAACTTTTTTTTCAAGTAAGGGAGCACGCCCATTAGGGCAGAGTGACTTGGCCAAGGTCACACTGCAGGTGACTGAAGGGGGGTGAGATTGCACTGAGTGTTGTTACAGATTTAGAGAGTCACCAGGGTTTAGATCAAAGGATGGCAAGAATTTGATATGAGTGGGTGGGGTTGGGTAACCTGGGGGTCCTTTAGCATGGCTGGACTGAAGAGTGGAGGGATGGCGAGTGCTGAGAGACTGCTCAAGAATTCAATGGTACTAACCCTTTGTAGGGTCACTTTTTAAAGAGCTTAGACTTTAATCTGAAGTCCATGGGTAAGCTATTTATTGAAAGACTGAAAGTAGGGTCCTCAGCTGGGCATTTTGGAAACCTCACCATTTGTATTTTAGAGTTGACAACGTTGGAACGAGGTGAGAAATAAGTGCTGGCTGTTCTTTATGGTACGATACAGGAGTATATACGTATATGATATTCAGACATGATTGTTCTTTTAAAACAGAAATGTGGATTTTCAGAACTTTATTCATGGCAAAGAGAAAGAAAAGTTAAGACGGAATTTTGTCTTCATGATGGACCTCCTTATGCAAATGGTGACCCTCACGTTGGACACGCTTTAAATAAGGTAATTATAATTAAGTCTCTAAAACTTGAGGGAAACCCGTTATTGAAAATCACTTTAGGGCCGGCCAAGTGGCTCAGTTGGTTAAGAGCTCGCTCAAGAGTTTGAGCTCTGAGCAACAGCGATTCGATGCCCGGCCCGAGCTGAGCAGCCGCTGAGCTGCCAACAGGTAGCAGGATGGCTCAGCTAAAAAAAAAAAAAAGAAAATCACTTTATGGAAGAGTGTATTCTAATACTATGGCAACTATGTAAATTTATATTGATGCGTAAAACTGGAATGTCTTCATCGAAAGCAGCAGTAAACCGTTTTAGTACTGCATGAAATAAACTTTTGGACTATTGCACTGTAGGCGGGGAAGAAGGAAATTGAGCTTGGAGCCAATTCTATCTTTGCCTCTGGTCTTCCATTTTATAATGGTAATATGTTCTTAAATCAGGCTCTGCTGCCCTCTAGTACCTAAATGAACTAAGAAAGGTAAATCAGTTATAGACCTATACCTAATATACCTAGAAGAGGCCTACTGTTCTATAAGAGTTTTGGTAATGACAGAAAGTGTTTAACTATGATATTCAGTACTCTTTGAGTGCATTATGAATTCTGCATTGATTCTATAATATTTCTTAGCTAAATGTAAATAATATTGAATTACGTTAATAATTTTCATAAGAGTAAAGCAAATTTGTAATTGACTGGTTTTTAGAAGGTAAAAATTATTTCTTAAACAAGTAGTATGGGCTGCTTATTTGCATATTCCAACTTTACAACAAATTAATAATTTTGGGCATAATGTTTTTCACTTTGAAGTCTTTTGTTTTTTTATTTCTTTTGGGGATGTAAATGACATTTTAAAACTTCAAATATCTGTTATTCCTGTACTTATGTAGAACTTGAATTGGGAGATTTAATAGGTTATTCTATATAAATCCTTTTAAAATTGGGCTTTCTGTGTTTTAAAATGATATTGAGAAGATAATATAAATTGTTGGATACATGCCTTAGGTATGAGCGATGATTATCATTTTCTTTGTAGATTTTGAAAGATATAGCCAATCGATACCATATGATGAGAGGTTCCAAAATACATTATGTGCCCGGCTGGGATTGTCATGGGTTACCCATTGAAATAAAAGTATTATCAGAACTTGGTGGAAAAGCTCAGAATCTTTCAGCTGTGGAAATTAGAGAGAAAGGTAAGTCATCTCTGTTTCTGGTTCTAAATGATATTTGTAAACACTGGTTGCTTGGAAAAGTCTGTGCTTTATGAAAGATATATTCAGTTGCACAATATATTTCTTTGTTGTTGTTGTAATGAGATCTGTGGGAAACCACTGTGTGTCACAGAAAACTCAGATTTTGTTTGACCTTTGTGAGAACTTATGTTCAGAGATTGAAGGAAAGATTTGTAAGCATTTCCAAGTACATTTTTCAGTTCTTTAGTCTTCATATGTTGTGAAATTATTATTTTGGTCAATGTTTTTGTTTACTTTCCTGGCGAGGGCTTGTTGACCTATGTCAGGTGATAAAAACAAAAGTACATTGTAAAATGCAAATATATTTTAAGTTAATCTATTTGATTCTTTAGTAGTTTGGGTCAGAGAGGAATCTTCTTATATATTAAACTATTGTATATTTGGATATGATTGTGAAGATTTTTTAACTTCTTTGTGAAACATCTTATTATTAGCTTAGACTGAAGGTACTGATTAATTTTTTTTGTGTATAATGAAATCATTATTCTGTTCTTAAAAAATAATGAAGAATAATTTTTCTAGTTTATGTTTTCTAAATGTAAGTTCATTGTATAAAGCCTGGAAAATATAGAAGATGGTAACATATATATTAGCTTTTGAAATTCCAGTTAATTTTAGAATTTGAACACCTTTGAAAATAATTTTCCTGTTAAATAAACTTTATGGTCTGAACTGTGTATAATATCTGCATTTAGAGAGATACGCGCTAAACCATATTTACTGGTTTTGAAAACCAATAAGTTGAATTTACTGGTTTTCAAAAACATTTTTTCTTCATTTTTTTTTCTTTTTTTTAGCTAGATCATTTGCTAAAGCAGCAATTGAGAAACAAAGATCAGCCTTTATTCGTTGGGGAGTAATGGCAGATTGGAATAATTGCTACTATACCTTTGATGGAAAATATGAGGCCAAACAGTTGAGAATTTTCTACCAAATGTATGATAAGGTAATGAAGTCCTTTTTCCTTCAAGTGTGTTAAATTATATGTCAGAAAATTCAAGCTTTCATGTAATTAATATCTTTGTCTTTTTATAGGGCTTGATTTATCGATCTTACAAACCTGTGTTTTGGTCTCCGTCATCGAGGTACTTAGTGTTTTTGATAGTTAAAGGAGAAATTTTGTAAGGCCTCCAAATACTTATGTCTAATATTTTTAAACCTTAGGACCGCATTAGCTGAAGCGGAACTTGAATATAATCCCGAGCACGTCAGTCGCTCAATATATGTAAAATTCCCTTTCTTGAAGCCTTCTCCTAAGTTGGCATCTCTTATAGGTATGATTTATTCATTGCCTGAGTTTATTGAAGTTATGGAATTGTAACTCTTGCTAACATATTTGAAATTTTATTTTCACAGATGGTTCATCTCCTATTAGTTTTATAGTCTGGACCACACAGCCTTGGACAATTCCAGCCAATCAGGCTGTATGTTATATGCCAGATGCAAAGTAGGTATATTATTGCATTTTTTTTTGTTTTATCCACAAATAGGATTAATTCCATCAGTATTATTTTGAATTTATTTTATCATTATCCTCTTAAAAGATAGTGAGCTATAATTATGTTCACATAGATTTTATTAAGCTTTAGATGATTCCATTTAAGACCTTGTTCCCACCTTTTTTGGAAAATGAAACAAATGTAAGGGAAAATAGCACTTTCTTGATTTTGTAGTTAGCATTTACAGCGTTTTACATCATTTTAGACAAACTGTGGCTTTTCTTTTTCACTGTTAGTAATTTTCTCCGAAAATTCTATTTTAGGTATGCTGTTGTGAAGTGTTCCGGATCTGGAGACCTCTACATCCTGGCTGCAGATAAAGTAACGTCTGTTGCTTCGACTTTGAAAACATCATTTGAGGTTATTTCGACATTTTCAGGTGAAGATTTATAATATTCTTACCATCACAGTCATAAAAATATTGGGCTGATTTGAGTTCAGTACTTTGCTGAACATTGCTCATTCTGAATCAAAATAGATATGGCCTCTCCTTTTCTGGAATATATTTTATATTGATTATACTAAAGGAGTATATATATATATATATATATATATATATATATATATATATATAAACAAAGGCACAACAGATAAAAAAATATTTCTGGCAAACATCCAATGTAAAATTGTAGAATGTAGAATGTACAAATATACTTTAAAATTTTTATCCAAAATTAAATTGCTAAAAATTGTTATCTGATTTAATCCAATGAGCAAGGAAAGAAGTAAATATATTTATTTTTGGTATGTGATTTTAATAAGGAAATTGAATAAATCCTGAAAATTATTTGAAAGACAGTGCTTCTCTCGAAAGAATGCTCAGTAAGCTCTAATTCAGGATTGGGTTTGAAATATAACTATGGAAATCTAGGGAAGTTGAAAATCACCTTTGATCCTTAGGGATGACATATCTTTGAGTTTCTTACTAAAAAAAAAAAAAAAAAAAACAGTTTCACATGAATGAGATACTGCCAAAAGGAAAGACCGCCTAGCGAAATAAGGAATCCTTCTAAATGGCATCAGTTCAGATACAAACCAATTAGAATTTGAAACAGTCTCCACAAAAATAAAAAGGTTTTATGTCAGAGGCAGGGAAGGAGCTACAGAATGTTTAACATTTAATATCATATGGTCCTTATTGATGCGATAGGTGAGTTAGAGGATCCAGTATATTCTTTACTCCACACCCCCTCCCATCTCTTTTTTTAAGTGCCGATTTTAATATTATAGACTTCATCAACAAGTTAGGTGTTACGGAAGTTGAATGGCACCCTCACGAGGATTTTGAAAGTATTAAAGTTAAATTTAAGATAATTTATCCAAATTGCATCATTGTTTTAGATGATTACTCTGCAGGGAACTGTTAGGTTGCCGTTTTGAGCCACCACTATTCAGAGGAGTATCTATCCTCCTCATCCCTGGCAAAATAGGCAGGTGACAACTAGCTGACTGTTTATTAAAGTGGCAGGAATGTTCAACAGCTCAAATGGAGTACATTAGTATGGGGTGGGTTTTCTTTCCAGAAAATAATGTACTGTTTCTGATTAATTTAGACATCACGGAACAAGTAAAAGGGGAAGCCAGGATACTAGACCCGGCTCCTTTCTGTTCCAGATTCTGATCTTTTCACCTGAGCTCTATTGCTGTTTTAAGGACTGCCATATAAAAGGATTCTTAATTGTGGTTTTCTTTCCCCACAGGTGCAGATTTGGAAAATGGAACTTGTGCGCATCCTTTAATGCCTGATAAAGTCTCTCCTCTTTTACCTGCAAATCACGTGACCATGACAAAAGGAACAGGGCTGGTTCACACAGCCCCGGCTCATGGCATGGAAGACTACAGCATAGCTTCCCAGCACAACCTGCCCACGGTACTTTTTTTTATTCTTCTAATTATTGCTTTTGTAGAATTAAAGTGATAAACCTAACCCCTTTATGTTTTGATAATAAACAGTCATTTTTGTCATCATAATTGTGAAATGCTTACGTTTGTGCAATACCCTAAAGTCTCATTAATGCATTCTAATTGAGAAAGATTTCTGGAATGAACCCAATTATTAGCACAAAGTTAAAGAATATGTATTAAGGGCCGGCCGAGTGGCTCAGTTGGTTAAGAATTCGCTCAAGACTGCAAGCTCTGAACAACAGGGTCGCCGGTTCAATTCCCAGCCTGAGCTGAGCTGCCAACAGGTGGTAGGATGGCGCAGCTAAAAAAAAAAAAAAGAATATGTATAAAAATTGAAGAATGTATATTAAATGGGAGCAGTTTTTTTCTTTCAAGTATTAAGTCACATAGACAATTACTTTTAGCCCCTGAAAACTGGCATGTGGATTTTATTAGTTTTACTAGTTGAAAAGAATAGTTATTTTTTTAAAAAACTAAACAGTCCTCTCTAAACTTATTTTATACACGTCAGGTACTTAGCAAATTTTTCCATTAAGTTGTAGGCGAGTCTCAGTCATCGCAATGTATGTACATTGTCATAGATCTGTAAATTAAAAGAGACCAAATTAAAGATGTTTTTAGTATATTTTACTTTTTGTTATTAAACTTAAGGTATATGCTTTAATAAGACATTTTGCCTTTGGTGATTTAAATGTATAAATTTACAAATTCCTTTTAATTGAAAACAAGTTCCCACATTTTCAATGTAGTGAAAGATTAGTCTATACTGAGGGGTTTTATATATATTGGTTAGCCAGATATTGTTATAAGATGAAATGTCTTGATACTTGACTTGTTCAAAATGACACTTTGTAGGATTGTTTGGTGGATGAAGATGGGGTTTTCACAGCTGTGGCTGGTCCTGACCTTCACAACAAGGCCGTCCTTGAAGAGGGAACAGATGTTGGTAAGTATTGTCTATGTTGATATCATAAATCTATTTTTTCTCGAAAAGCAGCCAGTAGTAACTTTTACTAGCTATTCTCCCATCTTATACTTTCAACAGAAACAACCAGCTAAAATTACATATTATTTTGTCACATGGTTTGAAATAGTTTGGGACCCTTTCATCTTTTGCTTTGAAAGTTGCTCTGTTTAAGCAGCTCAGGATAGTCAGCAGGGAATGATGTTACTCAGAACTACAGAGATAACCATCAGCAGTATTGGTTTTGTGGAGGCTAAAATCCAGCCTGGGGCAAGGAGTTGACTGTGAATCAGACATTGCGGGCTCCTTTTATAACTTTGTAAATCACTGACCCACATGACATGGTTTACATATTATTATTATGATCTTGGAGGTTCTCCAGTCTTAAGTTGTCTTTCTGCCTTTCTGTTATTATGGATCCTGGGACCAGGTACTATGAAAACCTTTCTTTGCCCACACTGAAGATTAAGGCTAACGGTGTAGTACTTTCCCAGGGCTACTGTAACAAGTTAGCATGAATCTGTGGCTTGAAACAACAGTTCTGGAGGCCGGAAGTCTGAAATCGGTGTGGGCAGGGCCGTGCTCCCCCTGAAAGCTCTGTGGAAGAATCCTTCCTGCCTCTTTCGAGCTTCTGGTGGCTCCTGGTAACCCTTGGTTTCTAAACCACTCCTTGGTTTGTCGCTGTGGGGTTCCAGTCGCTGCCTCCATTGTCACATGTCCTTCTTTGCTCTCTTGTGTGTCCCTGCGTCCTCTCCTTTTATAAGGACACCAGTCACTGGATTTAGGACCCACTCTAATCCAGTGTGACCTCATTGTCTTGATTGTACCTACAAAGACCCTATTTCCAAATAAGGTCACATTGCCATGTACTAGGGGTTAGGACTTGAACGTATCTTTTTTTCGGGGACCAAATTTAACCCACTGTTTCTGGTTTCTTCTGGAATACCTGGAGACTATTTTAAGAGGCATGGTATGAAAGATTATGACTCGATTTTGAACGTAGAGTTCTAACTATACCCTGTTCATCTTTGAAGTGAAGAGCCATGGGAGTGGCATAATTTGGATTCTGACTAAGGTTTTACAGTCATGCATTTTTTGCCAGGAGATTCCCAGATTATGCCTTCGATACTGGTAGGTGGCCACTCTTACCGACTGGCACTTATTGATCCAGATTTAGTACACGCCCTGGCAGGTTAGAGAATTACTAGGATTTTCATAGTACTTTTTAATTATGTCTAACGTAAATTGTTAATTGATTTTTTTTTAAAGTTATAAAGATGCTTCAGGCTGCAAAGACTTTGTTGAAAGAGGAAAAGGTGGTACACAGCTATCCCTATGACTGGAGGACCAAGAAACCAGTGGTGATTCGTGCCAGCAAGCAGTGGTTTGTCAATATCACCGATCTGAAGGCTACAGCCAAGGTATAAAAGGCATCCTACTACCAGGCATGGGTTTCCATCTCCTCTGTGGAAGGGTTGGCTATGAGGTCGAGGTGGGTTTGGGGAATAGAAAGGGTTGCCCATAAACGAGTAGAATTTTAGATCTGGGAGGTCCTTAGATTTCCATTCCTTCATTATACACGTGCGGAAAATCAGGCTTCAAGGGGTTGAGTGACTTGCCCAAATTTCCTTCCCAGTGGAGTGAAAGCATAGAATTAGGACAGAACTGAGTTTAGGAGGTTGTTTAACCCTCTCAGAGTCTGTGTCCTCATCTACGTAAAGGTGGTAATAATGGCTACCTCATGGAGTAAGTGGATAAACGTTTCCAGAACAGTAGTCTGGCACATAAGCAGTCAAAAAATGCTTTTAAAATGCTTTGCTTCCTTCAGATTGAAATTGAAACCCATGTGAAAAGTTGTTGCTTTGTGTTAATACTTCATAACTGATGTGCTACATATTAATATTTGAGCTCTTTCATTCAGTATGTGTGTATATTAGCATGTGTATCTCACAAACAACTTGATTCTGTTGAATGAAAGGGCTCAAATATATATATTTATTAACCAGGCTGAACATACAGACATTTTGCTTTATAGCTTTTGTCTAACATATTACCATATTTTGTAATATGTTCATTTGTTGGCCTGGCAGTTTGGAACCCATGCCAAAGCTACGTGTAGCAATTTACATTTTCTGTGTTTCTGTGGAGTTGACAGCTGTGATACGGACTGGTTTTTGGTTTTTACATTCCTATGAACCCTATTTTCCTTACTTGTAAATGTTAAAATTTGTAACCGTGAGCTCTGGAAAGATGGCATCAGAACATCCAAGTCTGATGTAATGTATATGCTGAAGCCAAGTATTTTGTTAATGTCTTTATAGACTATTTTCGATTGCTCTTCGCAGAAATAGAGAGTATAGTGATGTACTGCTATATTTCTATCACCCGACTTCAACAATCATCAACTTCTGGCCAATTTTGTTTTTATCTACCCTCCTCCTATCATTCACTTTTTACTCCCTACCCATTTGATTATTTGGAAGCAAATTTTAGGCATTATTTCTTCCATAAATACTTCAGCATGTATTACTGAATAATAAAGAATCTTCAAAACATAATTCCAATGCCATTATCACCACCTGAAAAAGTAATCGTTATTCCTTAACAAAATCAAATACTCATCAGTATTCCCATTTCATGGCTTGCGATGTTGCCATTCTGCCAGTAGGTGGTGCTACAAATGGGCTTTTTTAGGGGGGCGGGTCTGGTAGTTCATGTAAGTGAACTAAACATGAAACTGAAAATATAAAAATGCTCTTATTAATGAACAGAGAGGTTAAAAAACACAATGAAGTTAACATACTTTGGCCTTTTTTGAGCTTTTTAACCAAACATTTTTGGTATATAATGTATCTTTTGGTAACAGAAAAATGAAATGAAATAAAATGCTAGTAGTTTACAACTTGTGGAGTGGAAGGAGGGAGGGTTCTTGAGAGATTGTAAGTGAGTAACTTGTTTTGAGAAAATGTTTTTGTTTTAAACCATTCTGTGTAAAGTTAGGTTATATTACAATCCTTATTTTTCAACCAATGACAGCTTATTTTTTAAAGCATTTTTTAATTTTTATTTTTATTATTTTATTTATTTATTTATTTATTTTTTAAAGACTTTTATTGGGGAATTGGGGGAAGGGAAACAGACAAGCTGCTGTCCCTTTGCTCCTCAGTCCAGCTGTGGAGGACGTTGCTTCACTCGCCCAAGTTGGCACCATCATTGCGCTCTTCCCTGGTGAGGCAGATCAGTTGCCGGCTTCTGGACGGCTGCTCACGCTGGCTGCTGGCTACACACAGTAGCCCATGGCAACCCACCTGCCATCGCTGGCGACTCACGGCAGCCCAGCTCCAGGNGAGGGCAGTGTCACTGGCCCTCATATGTGGGATCCGAACCGGGGCCCTCTGGCGTCCCAAGTCAGATCTTAACCAACGCGCCACTCGGCCAGCCCCTTAAAGCATTTTTTAAACAAATGTTAAAGCAAGTTTGAATTGATTTTCAATTGTAGTTTAATGAAGTATAACACTGCCTACTAAACTTATTACCAGTTTTGACCTAGGGTGCTTTGAAATTAGTATAAAATCTTTTGTCACATCCTCTAAAGGTGACGCCTGCTTTTGATGTTATTTATTAGGTCCTTTGCGGCCCTGTTTTAACTTTGCTCTGGAATCTAGTTTTTTTTTCTGGGGAGATGGCTGGGGGGATATGTGAATGAGTATAAACATCTGAAATAAAGAACTATATTAGGATAAATAGTGACAGTTGTAGAAAATTTGTTCTGCTTTCTCTCACTGGACTTGATTTGTGAATCAATTGCAGGACTTGTTAAAAAAAGTGAATTTTATTCCTGGATCAGCCCTGAATGCCATGGTTGAAATGATGGACAGGCGGCCATACTGGTGTATATCGAGGCAAAGAGTTTGGGGTGTTCCAATTCCTGTGTTTCATCATAAGACAAAAGATGAATTCTTGATCAACAGGTAGAACTCTTTCTAAAATTTTTCAACCTTTTAAAGCAAGTTGTGTATTCTTGAAAAATGGAAAAATAGTGGACTTTTGAGAGCTGATATGTTACATAAAACAGTCTAAAATGATGTTTTGTGGGAGGGAGTTAAAAATGTAAATTTCAAAAAGATCCTTTGATATGATTGAAATGTTAACAACTATGTTTTTTTCAGTATTGATACTTAGAAGCAAAGACTTTTTTTTTTAAATGAGAATTCTTTGTTCTGTGAGCCTAGCATTTTGCTAGAATAAGGTATTAGGAATCCAAAGGTGAATAGTATTTAGTGGGGGAATCCCGGTGTGTCGTTTTTCTTTTGGAATTAGAGTCACTCTCTTATTCTGAGTCTACTCTGCCTTTCAGTAGAAATGTTATTACGTAATTGTTTAGATGGTTTAAAATTTAAGAAACTATAACATATTTAAATGTATAAAATTACATTTATTTTAGCGATGATTGCATTTCCACCTTTTTTTCCTTAACTTTTTTTTTTTAAGATTTTTATTGGGGAATTGGGGGGATGGGAACTTTTTTTTTTTTAATTTGCAAAAATAATACGTGGACATAGTAAATAGTTCAGAGTAGAAAAGCTTATACAGTGACAAGAAAATTTTTCTTAATCCAGACATTGGACCCTTTGAAGCAGTGAACAAGCTGACATGGTCCCTGTTCTTAATGAGATGATAGTCTAGCTAGTTTATCTTCTCGTAAATTAGGGAGGCTTCCAGTATTGTTGCTGTAACTAACAGATGTGTAAAGGGGAATAGGGGAATTTTAATCACTCATCTTAGGAATACATCCTAGGTTTTCATTTCGTTGGAGTAATTTTGTTTTCATTTGGTTAATGGAATTTTGACTAAATTATGTTGCAACACGAGTAAGGAGTTTGAGCGCGTTTTGCTAAGTATTTTCCCATTTCATTCGTTGAGAATCCAGTGAGGTTTTTGAGGGCATGGAGACCATCAAGTAATGGGGACTTGAAGACAATGTAGACATAGAGTTCAGTGTCCCTACCTAGGGTTTGTTATCATTTTTTAAAAAGTTTCTATTTTTCATTGTCAGCAGTATCAGTATTTCGTTAGGTGGTACTTTTATGAAAGCATATATTTAGAGTTTTTTTAAGTGTTTGATTACAGTGGGGTCTTTTTGTTTGTTTTGTTTTATGGCTTATAACCACATATTAGGTAGTACTTAGTGTCCTTTGTGTGAAAGATCCTTTTCAGTTTGAAAAATGGGTTGTATCACTCTTCCGCTGTGTCACTACCTCTCTGGTAATCTGACCCTTGATGGCAGTTTGGCTCAGAGGGAAGAACTAGAGGCCACACCTTGCGCAAATAATGAAACAGCTCATTTGCTTCTTCACAGAGGATGTGGTTTTGGGTAGAGCCTTGTGGATTAGGTAGGAAATTGGGGGCAGTATTGGCATCAGCAGGAGCTGAGAACCTGGAGTGGGGAAGGCATCGCATCCGTAGAGGAGCCATAATGGGCTGTAGGGTAGAAGGGGAATTTCAGAAAGATAAACTCTAAGATAGATTGGTCTGGCAAATTGTAGTGAGACCTGAATTCTAGGTTAAGGAATTGAAGGTTTTTAGTGGGCATGGAGCATACGAGTATGTTTTAGGAAAGCAAACTCGATTCTAGTGACCAGTAAGTCATTGTAAGCCTATTTCAATTCTGTAACCATTTGGAGCCAAGGTGCTTATCCTAAGTATTGTCGCTCATTTTTTTTTAAATTGAACGCTTGATCAGATATAAACTGCTAATGTCTCCAAACCTGTATTAAGAATTAAAATGAAGATAAATTTACACAAGTATTGTTTAAAATTCCACCCTGGAGAATTTTCTTTTAAGGAATGTTTATAGGCCACGGTCATTGTTTCACATTCTTTTCAGTATTAAGAGAACAAGTTTTTTAGGGCATTTCCTTGAATTGATAGAGGGAGACCATATGTATATATATTAGGAAGCAGAGCAAACTGGTTCATTTGACCATTATTTAATCAGGACAGCAAAATGGCACATAGGCTGATTGATCTACTTAAGCTAGGTGAAATAAATGTTAGCTTTACTAGAAAAACACAAGCAGATATTCATTAGGTACCATTTATGTTTTATTTATAGTTGATACATAGCGCTGTTACAGGTTCTTGTATTGTTCGCACGGTATTAGTTGGTTTCTGATTTTGAAGCAGAGATATACAGAATATTGGCCTATAGAAATGACAGACACTCTTAGCCATATCGTCTGTCAATTCATAGGTCATTGTCCTGTACACCATTTGTTAGTTCACGACTTGGCCCCGTACACACAGGGCAGGGGAGATTGAAGAAAGAGTCAGACCACTCCAGATGGGTAGGTGACAGGTTTAATAGGCAAGGCAGCGTCACTTACGAGACTTGTCTTAGGCGGCCACCAGATGAGTAGATCTCTGCACCTGCCTGCCAGAATCTTAAAAGTGTGTGCTAGAGACCTTCAGTCCCGTGACCATCCAGATGGTCTCAACACCACCTTACTCTCTCAAGGCTGTCACATTGGGCAGCTTCTAGTAGTGGGAAAGCCAGCCGAAGAACGCACATTCCAAGGACAAGGGACGGGTGAAGAGCTTTCGAATGCCTGGGTCAGCCACTCGAGGGTCAGCTAGCTGCTGGGCACGTCCCGCGTGACCCTCCTCCAACACCATTTCTTTATGTTGACTCATCATCTTCCGTTGTTGGGTCTTTTATGGGACATAAGACTTGATTTAAGAAAATGGATGTTAATTCCTAATTATGTATCACATTTTTGAAGATAGCATGAAACGTTCTCTTTTTTCCTTATTTACATGAGACTCCATGATTTTCGTCTTTGGATATGCTTTTCTGTTGAAGCGAGTTGGTAACCATCAAAAGTAACAACATCTCCACTGGAAATTGATACACAGTCCACATGGAGTTGCTGTTACACTTGATAATGCCATTCAGTATGTTAAGAGCCCTTCAGCTTTTCTTGATGAAAGCCTATAAATCTCTTACGTATACTTAGCATTCATAGAAGAAATCTTCATTTATTTCATGTTGGAAATAAGTTTAGAGACTGGCATATTTGAAATGCTAATGTTTAATTTTGATTTGAATTAATGTTCTCATTGGCACTTTATATTCATTATTTGTATTTTTCTCAAGAAATGATTCCATTTCTGTCTTTATCATCATCGATCATTTTCTGAATCTGTAATCTAATGCCATTATAATTTAGGTGGAAATCTATTCCTAGTTAATAAAGACAAAATAAGTACTTTTTAGCATAAAAAAGATAAAATATAGAAACACTTGCTGTCTAGGAAGGAAAAGAAGTCGTTAGGTAAATTTCTTTCATTTCAGATGTTCTAATTAATTTAACAATAGCTACAGTTAACATGCACTTAGGGAACTTAGCTCCTGATTCCTGGATATTATGAGAAGTTTACTAGAAACAAGCAAGAAATTTCCAGTGTAACTTGAGTGTACACTTTAGCTATCTCAGTCTTTTGCTCAGATTAATAATGACCTTTGGATGAAAAAAAATTTATAATACTCATTAAATAAAGAAAAGCTTCTTCAAAATTGTTTCCTGTCACCTTTAAAAGTATAGCCTTAAATTAAAAATAGTGTCCTCCTCAAATTTCATTGTATTAAATTTAGTAAATAAATATAAAACATATAGCCTCTTACCTTATTCTTATTCCAGTAACTTGCACAAGAAAAGTCTTACAGTCCTTAATAGTTTTGCTCTTATAAAGACAAAACTCAGGAAACACTGGCATGAGAGCAACAGTTTCTTCATTACCTAGTACTCCTAATGCTGCTTCATTTCCAGTAGCGCGCTAAATAAGCTCTCAGCCTAGTTGATATCAAAGTCCAGAATGATTGGTTGGTATTATAGCTGCACGTATTACCTAGTGGGTTTTCACTGATTGAAACAGAAGGGCACGTAGTGCATTATGTTTAGATAAGACTCTTGCGTAAAGTACAAAGTTTTATGATGGACTTATTGCTTTATGAAATACAGCATTAAAATGGAAGCATAGAGATTATGTAGTGATAAGTGGTTTCACCCACTTATCAAGTGTAATTTATACTGATCTTTAGGTTATAAGTTAACTATCTGTGTTAAGTATAGGATATCATTAACAAGATAATGGAAGAAAATTCTTAAATTTCAAAAGACAGATGTTGACTTCTTCTATTTTTTTCTGAAGAATAATTAATATCACCAAGAAATGCCTATAAAATTGTTTTAAAAAATTTTGATGCATGATCTCAGTTTTGTTATAAAAAATTACACTTCTAAGTATTTATCCTAGGGAAATAAGATGTCTCACACTAAAGATATACATGGAAGGATACCTAATAACAGATATTTATAAAGGAACATAATGCTATGAAATAGAAGAAATAATTTTAGTCAATTTTGAAAGAATGAATTCACAGCCATTAAAAATGGTAGCTCAGCTCTTAATGGTTGCCTCGTTTCCCTGTGTATGAAAATCAAATAAATGTAGCCCGTCCAATATTTGCCTATTTCTAGTTTTTGCTGCAGTGCTATCATGAGTATCTTTTGAGCACTTGTGCCTTTACTTGTATTTTTTCCCAAATTATCTTTTCAGATTTTGGACATTAAATGTATCCTTATTTGGAATCCAGCAAACCTCGGAGTTTGTAGGGGGTGTGTGTGTGTTTATTTTTATTGCAAGTGTTATTTTTAAAAACTCTTTTGTTTTAAAATTTTTCATTTTAAAAATTAAGTAATATACTTGTCAAAGATCTCAAAATAGTACTGAGAAAATGTAGCCATTAAAACTTGAATTTTGGTTTGACTAGAGGTGGTTGACCAAACGTGGTGGGGAAGTTGCCTTAATAACATGCTGGCTGCAAAATTAGGATCTTTCTTTGTTGTTTGGTATTTTTAGTTATAGACTTAGTAAGATACTTGAGTATAGTTCAGTAATACTTAAAATATAGTACTATATCTTCATTGAATTATCTGCTGTATAAAAAAAGAACTCAGTCTCATTCGAGTTGAATTTGGCATTCGAAAATACATGTAAGAGCATCTACACTTATAAGTTACAGTTGTAAGTTCCTGACCAACATATTAGGACTTCTTTTTGTAAGAATAAAACTTTTCACGCGGCCTGTTTCCTCACAGCTTTTCCCAGTGTTCATAGAAACTGAAGCTTAGAAACCTGATACAACGTATTCCTGTCAGCATCTAACAAGTGCAGGTAGACTGGTCTCGTACTTGGTACTTGTTCTGTCAACACTAATCCGAGACTCCCTGGTGCCCTGCCGTCACCTCTGGGTCACGGTTCATTAGCACGGGCAATAAGAATCTTTTTGCCTTTGCTTAGCAAACCGAGAGACAGAGACGAGGGATATGAGTTCACAGTTACAGTGGTTACAATTAGAGAGGCTGAATGGAGAAGTCAGAACGGCTTTGAACCATGATTTAGGAGACGCAGTCTCAGGCCTGGCTTTCACTGCGTTACTTGCTTAGGTTCATGATTGTTAAGGAATCCGGAAGCACGGAACAGTTTTTATCTGTCTAGAGTTACTAAGTAGGTTTTTCTGTGAAGCCAGTTAGAGTGCTTGGAAAGTGCTTTGGAAAGTGTAATGTGTGGTGTATACATAAATGCTTTTATTTTGATTAATACATAGTAATATCTGTCCTAACATTTCTACCTTATTTCCTAAATTAATATGAAATTTGAACCATTTGCTTTTACTTTTTTATTATTTTTTTATCTGTTTATTTCTAACACATTTAAGACAGTTTTGCTATTTTATTTTACTGTTTACCTAAAATTGCAATTAATGATAATATTGTAAAAATAAAAAGGCAGAACGACACTCATCTTTAGAATCATTCTTTTTGATGAAAATTTCCTACTTGGTATGAATAGCATATCTACTGTAATTGTGTATGATAAATGTATTTTGCTAGTGTATCTCTCTTTTTTTGGTTCCTTTGGTGTAATAGCATTAGGTCTAGTGTAGTAACATTAGGTTTATTCAGATTTTCTATTATAGTATATTCATATTTTCTTAACTGATAAAGTGTTCTGTGCAAACTGCATGAAATAGTAATAAGTAACTAAATATTGGCATATAATTAGCTAGTGATTGCACCAAGTTTTTATGGTCTCATCACAAAAGTTTATCTTTACTGTTAAAGTCCATCTAAAATGTGTGATTGTATTAGAAATATGGACTTGTGCCCATTTTAACATTCTTGTTATTTATAATTTCTTCAAAATAGGTGTTGGTAGCATTATACTTTTCAATCTATACTTCATAGGATACAAGTTTAATGATAATTTGCTATGGTAAGGTATTTCAAATTTTCAATGTGTAGAGTATATTTAATTAATAATGGGTACATTTGATTTTTGCTTCCCACAACAGTTTTTTTTTTTATAAACACTTCAGTTTATCTGTGACTTATCAGACCCAGAGAGGTTAAATGATTTGCTCAATGTAATCATGATTAATGAGCAGATCCAGAATGAGAATTTACAGCTTTTTCCTGTGCATTCATCTTTCCATTTTCATCGATTCACGGACCTACAGTTATTAATGGAGTTTGGTAAAGAGGATAATACAAAAGTTGGTTTTAGTATGTGTATTTTAACTAATTTAAATGTTAACATGGGTATATGTTTTGGTAATTGATTGACAAAATTAACTGTCAAAAATTTCTCTGACTTCAGAGAATCAGTTTGAATTATAACTAATGATTACATAATTCTTACTAATGGGTACCAATCATTGTTCTAGGCATTGTATACCGTGATTCCCCGAAAATAAGACCTAGCTGGAGAATAAGACATAGCATGATTCCTCCAGGATATGGAGGGCACGCACCCCTCACATGAGGATTTGTGACCTGTTTCAGAGAGAAGGGTGCCTTTTCCGCAAACTCCTTCAGCTTAAAATATTCAGTATGCTAAGGTGCCATATTTAGGCACCTAAAATCATGCGAGGGCTTATTTTCCAGCTAGGGCTTCCTTTCAGGGAATCAGGGTATATAAGCTTGATTAATATCTGTAATAGCTCGCTTAATGATACTGTTATTATTTGCATTTTACTAACGCGGGTACAGAAATGTTAAGTGCTTTGCCCAGGGTCACATAGCTAGAAAGTGACAGAGCCAGGAATTAAACCAAAGCTGTCTGGCTCTAGGGACCGTGCACGTGACCATTTTGACCTTTCTATAAACTGCGACTCAGTGGATAGCAAACTAGAGGAAGTTGTCATGTTAATGAAGGTGTGATAATAAATTAAAAGTGCATATGTTGTTCCTGTGAGAAAATTTGGTATACATTTCCCGGAGTTTCATTTTCAAATAATTCATAACTCTGTACCTTCCCCACGATATGATCAATGTCAGTATTCATTTTGATACGCATTTACCGGCTTTCTGTTGTGTTAGGCACTGTGCTAAGTGTGACACGATCCATCTCATTTAGTGTGCAGTCATTCTAAGGGACACATCTAGGATCACTAAAACGTAAGCTCCATTAGGGCAGGAGTCTTACCTGCCTTGTGAACTGCTTTGTCTCCAGTGCCTAGAACGGTATCCAAGGCACTGGAGGTGCTTGGTCAGTATTTTTGAACAAATGAACTGTACAGCAACCGAGACTTAGGGAAGATGTAAAACTTTTGCACGGCCATGTATGTAAGCCTGGATATCTGTTGTCAAAAGGCTGTGTCCCACTGTGGCATTGCTTTTGGGCAGATGGATCTGGACCTAATCCTGTAAGCGGTGACTGGGGCACTGGAAGGTTTTGAGAGAGGATTGGTGTGATCAAAGCAGTTTTGGGAGTGAACTTCTCTCAGAGTTGTGTCTTGAAATGAAAGAGATGAGCTTTGGGGAAAAGTCAACCCATTGCATCAGTCTAGTATTGAAGCAGTGAGGTCGGACTTCTAGTGTCTGAGAACAAGAGCAAGTCTCAAATTGTGTTGGTTTAATTTGGGCAGAAATTGGAGGTGGGAGGTAATTAGGTTTTGAATATAGGTACCAGAAAAGAAAATAGATTCCTAAAAACAGGGAAATCAGTAACTGAAATAGGGATATCAGGAGAAGTCATTTTTTCTTCTTTTAAGGGATACATCTGATTTCATTTTTTAAGATATACTGATATTATTTGTATTGAATTGAGGATGATAGCAGCAGCCAAGCAAGTCATTGAAAATAATACCACTAAAGTTTGGGGGGAAAGACAGGAAAAAAATTTGCTGCAGAAAGGAAAAAATATTAGTATTTCTTAATTTTTAAAATGTGTAGTATTAATCACAATAACTTCATTGAACCATTCTGCTTGTCCCCCCGTAAAATAGCCAAACCATCGAGCACATTATTAAACTAGTGGAACAACATGGCAGTGATATCTGGTGGACTCTTCCTCCTGAGCAGCTTCTGCCAAAGGAAGTCTTATCTCAGGTAAGTTTCTACTTGTATTTCACAGCCTTTGTGTGCATTGTATGACCTAATAACAACAGAGGGGACTCTTGGGAGTTAAAAAAGTAGTTGCATTGTCATGTAACGTTAATGAGTTTATTCACCATAAATGAGAGCCAGTGCAGTTGGAAAGCAGACATTTTTGTTTAGCTAGAGAAGCCTGGTAGGGAATGTAGCAAATGGAGCGTGAGGGACAAAATTTTAACTGACTTGGTTGACTAAAGTAGAAATACTCGTGACTGTGAGAGAACAGTGCCTAACATCGGTACATCAGGACTTGGTGGGATCTGAACTCGAGTCACCTGATTGCATCATACACCAAAAAATCCACATTGGAAGATAATTTTAAGAAAACAGTTGATGTTTACATTAATAAATGTGTAATGAAGTGGCCACAGTCACTTTTACATACAAATGAATCAGTAGTACTTCATTGTGAAATATTTTTAAATGTTTTACATTTTACCTTAAAATGTGAATTTAATGGTTGTAAGTATTTCATTTCCTCAAGACTCCTTTGGGTATTTATTGTAATCATCTCACATAATTAAAGTGCCTTTACATGGTCTTACTAGGTCGGTGGTCCTGACGCCTTGGAGTATGTGCCAGGTCAGGATATTCTGGACATCTGGTTTGATAGTGGAACTTCATGGTCTTATGTTCTTCCAGGTAATTCTAAATAATAGTTTATTTACCAATTAAGCAGTCTTGTAAATACATGAATGTTATACTCAACCTATACTCAAAAAAATTTTTTTCTTTTTTTTTTCTTTATTTGGAAGATCTCCTGCCCTAATGTAACTTTAGGTCTGGAAGGACCTTTGGAGATCATCTAATCCAATGATTTCTAAACTTTTGTTTTTCCAAATGAAATTTTATATAGAACCACAATACATAAGATAGATAAAAATGGGGAATGTTCTCCCTCCTCTTAACCTCCTTGGCCCACCCGGCAACCTCAAGGCACCCAGTTCTGTAAAATCAAGTTTGGAAATCACTGAAATCCTTTGACCCCCTCCTCCCCCNCCCCCCCCCGCCCAGCATTTTTCAGAAGAGGAAATGAGATTGAATTAGCGGCAAATTAGATGATGGTCATGTAATTTCGTGTCAGATACCCTGATTGACAGAGCTCCTTCTATCTAGCATTGCCTTTTCACAGCCTCCCTTCCCCCATACAGACAACTGACTAATTTTATACTTTCTCATAGGGTGAGTTTTGACTCATTGGCTAAGGGAAAGGAGAGATTGGGCAGGAGAAGGCACACATTAGCGGATGTGTGTAGATGATTGAGAAGAAATGTCACTGAGGATACTAAGTGAAACGTCAGAGGCAAAATGAAGAGTGTGGCTTGTCCTCACCGAGGGCAGAGACAGGGAGGAGGTGGCAGGGAAGCAGTGACAGATCAGACAGTTCCTTGCACTGCTACTGAGGGCAGCTTTTGGCCCAAGAGATCCCGCTTGCTCTGTGGAGCAAGAGAATGTGGGAAAAATACCTTGTCTGTGCAGCTGGCCGGGGTTAAAGGGATTGAAGAGGACTGTCCTCGAGTTTTACTGGAGGTATACTTCTGGTTCTAGGCCTCATTATTAAGAGGACAGCAATATGGTTCCTAGTAGGTGAATATTCCTTCATTTGGGCTTTTTCAGCTTAGGAAATTTGAAAACTAAAATGCATGTAAATTCATGGTTAGTCTACATTACAGCTAAAATGTACATAATTCATAATGCCCATGTATAAGTTACAGATGAATAAAATTTTTACAATTTTTTATGTAGTAATTTTCCGAAATATTTCATAAGCTCCTCCCACCGTGTTTAAGAGAAAATGTTGCGAGTTTAAGTACTTCGTTTTCCTAACTTATATTGAAAATGTACCTAAGATAGGTAGTTCATGCAGTGTTATAAACAGGAAGAAGTTGCCTACGACCATTTCGGGGCAGCATTCTGAATTTCAAGAGGGTGCCGTATGTGAACTAGTGCTTCTGCAGTCTGTTTCAGAGTTCATTAAGTGCTTAGGCCTTGGTGAGAATTGCTGCTAGTAGCATTGTTGCTTTTTAATTTCTGAAATGGTTTTACATGTAAGTGCAGCAGTGCAAGTCATACTTGGAGCCGTCGACTGAATTAAACTGCATGGAAAGTGGCCGCAAGACCCACCTGTGCCGCTGTCCATGGTGCTGATAGAGTGTAGTCACTCTCTTTCTAGTTTGTGATGTTCTTATCCAAATATTTGACTGTGATAGAAATAATTTATTAAATGAAATTAGTGGTAAAAATGCACCTGAGTGGTAAATCATTTTTTTCGTCCCTGTCGTATTTAGGTAATTAACTCAGAGAAAGAAAATTTGTTATTAAACATGCATGTTGCACGCATAGGGGGCTGCCAGAACATAAACAAACTACCGTTATTGGTAATACATAAGCCCAATTTTAGACTGTAGTTTCGACTTTTTCATTCAGATCTCATACTCCTCCTCAAACAATTGTTTTCCTATTTTAATTACATTTCTGTAATTCTTAATACTTAACTTTTTGAGGTACTGACCAAAGAGCAGACTTGTACTTGGAAGGAAAAGACCAGCTTGGCGGCTGGTTTCAGTCATCCTTGTTAACAAGTGTGGCAGCAAGGAAAAAAGCACCTTTTAAGTAAGTATTACACCTGAGCTAAACACGTCAGCACACTTGGGAGTACTTCCGCTGGGTACCAGCCAATGTGTGAAGCCTGTGCTGAATGGTATCTACAGAGAGTGCCAAAAAAAAAGGTATACACATTTTAAGAAAGGAAAAAGCTATATTAAAATTATAATACCCAATACATACCGATAACAAGATGCATACAAGTCACGTGTATACATTTTTTTGGCACCCCCGTATGTGGTAAAACACCTTCAATTAGCTTAGTCTCCAGTCTCATGGGAGAAATAACAGTTTGAAGTAAAAAAAGAGAAAAAGGCGAAAATACAGACCAGTTTTGTCACTGATACAGATCACAACACCCTGAAGGAGTAAAATCAGCAGTGACTGGAGTGGTGGGGACCTACGGAGAGCCAGGTGGTGAAATACGGTTAAGACTCGACACAGGGACCTGGGGTTGGTTGAAGGCAGCCTGAGCTCAGTTGTCCTTCAGATTGTAATATCCTCAGCGGTTAATGAAGGAAAATTCCTTTAGTGAATTTTATAGATTAGAGATTCTTGTTTAGTTAACAGAAATTGCTTTTCCTTGTATTTTTTAGAGGTTCTAGTCAGAAAGATTCTTAAAGAGCTTAAGATTTTTGCTATCTTACAATGAAAACCCATTTCAGAGCAATTTAAATGCTTGTCTCTTGTCTAACATGCTTTTATAAGCCAATAGAACAGCAGATACATTTCTCTGGAATTGCCTTTTTGAAGATAATTTTGAGGTGATAATCTGCTCTTTTCAAGACATACTTTCTCCTGGTTAATGTTAATGATCAAAATCAGTACCTGATGCTCAGGAAAGACTTGCTTAGTGAAGGTCAGCATCAAAAATTTTTCTGTGTTGTAAGTACATAGCTTACTATTGAACAATCATGAGAAATAAGCTCCCAAGAATTAGACTTTCAAGAAAAGCTTTCATACATTATCTGTCAAATATCCTGTTTGTGTCAAAATAAGATACTTAAGCTGTAAGTTATCTTCAAAAAGATTATAATTGTGTTTATTATTATAATAGTTGATTTACCTTCTTAGGACAGTGGTTGTTCATGGGTTTACCCTTGGAGAAAAGGGAGAAAAGATGTCCAAGTCTCTTGGGAACGTCATTGATCCTGACGTTGTCATCAACGGAGGAGAAGTAGGTGGTTCTCCAAAAAAATTTTTATTTTTGTTTTAAGGCCCTTAGGTTGGCAGCTAAACACCCTTAAGGTAGTTACTTTAATGTAAAAAATCTTTTACATGAACAGCAGATGCCTTACCGTGTTTTAAAACTAGACTCTTAAATAATACATGATGTTAATGAAAAAAGGGAAGGGTTGGGATTGTGGCCTTTTTGACTCATTTCCAGTCTGAATCTTCAGTTGGGCCCTGAACCATTTAATGAACATCAAATCTGGGGTTACCGATAATTTGGTTTATTTTGCAGTTTTTAGAAATCACATGTCTGTTACTTTACTCCTTTGGCTTTTTACTGCCCAGCAACCATTGCTTTATTTACAGAGTTGCTAGGGAATATTGCAAGGGAAAAGCAGCCCTTCCCATTCCCCGCCCCCATCATGGAGACATCAGGGCGCTGCTCTGTGTCCGACCACCGGCTCGGATAGGTAGATGGAGACTGGGGTTAGCATCTGCGCAGTGAACAGACTAGAGAACCCACTCTCCTTTTCCTCCCAGTGTTGTGTTTTAGCTGCAGCCTGGTTTCTGAGATCATAGCCCTTATTTCATTATAGTGCAGGTATATTTATGCTCGAATTGGGCTCACATGTTTCTGAGTAGGAATACTTGAAAGATGGGTTCACCTGGTTGGAACTGAAAGCCATTTACGTTTATGTTTTTTTTCCCTCAATGGAAAGGATCAAAGCACAGAGCCTCCTTATGGTGCGGATGTCCTTCGCTGGTGGGTGGCTGAGTCCAATGTTTTCACTGAAGTGACCATTAGTCCGTCTGTCCTCCATGCTGCCAGAGATGACATCAGCAAGGTCAGAGTCATCATTCTTCCTGTTTCTCAATGAGAAGTTGATTGAGTCATTGTTTTAAAAAAAGCATTCTGTTGGCACTCCAAAACTGAATGAAAATGAGTTCTACACATGTTGTGAGCATTTAAAAATAACCTATATTATTTGTTTAAAAAATTAGTTCAATACTAATAATTTTATATACTGTCTTTTTATATTAAAATATATAGCAAATGTGAATACTAATTTTACATACTTTTTATGGGCTCAATGACCTTTCACATTTATTCTATTTATCTTTAGTTTCACCTGTGAGGCAGGTAAAAATAACACTTTTACCTACACAGGTGAACAGATGAGGCCACTGAAACGTGACTCGCCCTAAGGTTATAAAGAAATAGAATGGAAATTCAGTCTTTATGGTAATAAAGTCCGGTGATTGTTTCTATAACTGGGCTATTAGAATGAGAGGGTTTTGTGTTTTTTTTGCAATTATAGTTTTATTTAGGAATGTTTAAAAAGTTTTCCAAAAGAAAAAAAGTATTCCATTAAGAAAGTAACACGAGTTGGATAAAACTTAGAGAAATAATTATTTAGTAAGAACTGAAGGCATCATACATTTTTGTTTGACTGCATTTTTTCTTTTCCCCAGTAGCTTCGGAATACACTCCGCTTTCTTTTGGGAAATGTGGCTGGTTTCAACCCAGAGACAGATTCCATCCCTGTTAACGATATGTACGTCATAGACCAGTACATGCTACACCTACTCCAGGACTTGGCCAACAAGGTACATGTGAATTAATGAGCTTTGGGAAAATGGAAACATCAGCACTGTTGTATGTTGAAATTAGAGTTGCATGTGAATGGAACAAGCCTTGCTAGAAATGGTAACTATAGCACTGAGAAAAGTTCTACTTGATAAATTTCACACATTCCCAGGTTGACCTTAGGTATGAAGTCTTAGGATTTCTTTCCTAGTTTCTCAGAAAACTAGAGCAGTACCTCGTGGGAACAGTAGGCCCAGACTTCTTCTCAAGCCACATTTTTCCTCAAGATCAGCTCTGTTTCTCCAACAGGAAAGAATAAAGTAGAATTGTACTTTGCCTGCAGATGTACCCCTCAAAGCATAGAAATAACCGAGCCTTCCTGTGTCTCCTAAGATATTTTCTCATTTACATATGAACACAAATTTGTGTTTTCTCAAAAACACTGGAAATGTGGTTGCTTCCATGTACCGTCAGAGGCATGCGTGCAGATTTTTGCCCAAGTTTACTTTTCAGGCATAAAATGAAGGAACGTTGGTGACCTCTTTACTGGTTTGAAGTGATGTGCTTTCATCATTGAAAACCTGACCCTTTCCTTTGATGAATGTTCCTTTGTAGTTTCCAGAGTTGAATGTTCAGTATTTTCGAGGGTAGTCGAATTTGTGATCCAGGATGTTTGGGGACCCCCGAGAGCTCTTGCGTATCACACGTTTTGTATTTGTCTGCCTTTGCAACACACTTGCAAAGGAAACATATTTTGCTTATGATGTCGTACATTTCTATTTGCTTATCCCAGCTTCCAAATGTATTTGGCTTTGTTTCCTAGATTACCGATTCATATAAACAGTACGATTTTGGAAAAGTTGTTCGGCTATTACGAGCCTTTTACACCAGAGAACTTTCAAACTTTTATTTCAGCATAATCAAAGATAGGTATGTACGACTGAATACTAACATGCTTAACAAATATTTCTTGCGTGTCTCCTCTGCTTGGCAAATGATGAGCAAGCCGGGCAGCGTGGTGCAGTTAAGAAGATTCTAGAGCCAAGCCTGATTATGAATTTTTTTTTTCTGCCACTTACTGTGTATCTGTAAAATGGTGATGTTTTACAGATGTGGTTACAAGAAGGAAGAGAGATAAGTAATGTGCTTAATGCTGTTTTATAAAGTAAGTGCTCGAGAAGGAATAGCTGTTAATGTGAGGTAATGCACGTAGTACTTCTTTTCAGGAGTTTATAAATCTTATGAGGGAGAGAGACAGCCTGTAGGGGTGTGGGGAGTCCCATTTTAAATACCACCAACTAACTTATCAGTTGTCCTTGAACGCACTCGTCTAGGCTGTTTTCTGAAGAATGGAATTGGAAATTACATAGCAGTTTTTTGAGGGCATACCTGGAAGAAGTACAATAGAGGATGTTATAAAAAACTGATAGAATATCTTCTTCTTTAGATGATGAGACTCATAGAATTAGCCACTGTAAGAATAAGCTCAGCACGAGACAAGCGCCTGTCTTGGCAGTCAGAACACACGAAGTGCTGTCAACTGCTGAATTTGTTCTCGTTCAGGCTTTATTGTGAAAATGCAAGTGATCCCAAACGACGCTCCTGTCAGACGGCGCTGGCTGAAATCTTGGATGTAATCGCTCGTTCGTTCGCTCCCATCCTTCCTCACTTGGCTGAGGAGGTGTTCCAGCACATGCCTTATAGTAAAGGTAAGGAACACTGGATTTGTGCTCTAAATGAGAAAGGCCCTTGTTGAGGGGGCAACTTCTGGTTGTGTCTGTTTACTCATCTACAATGATGATGATGTGTCTTGGTTACTTCGTAGTTTCTGCACCTGTTTATAGAGGAGTAGGATGAACTTCAGAACGGCTTTCAAGCCACCTTGAAATGCTTTCTGAAATTAGCAGCTTGACTATATTGAGCAATCACATTTTCTTAAATACCTTGTATGTCAGAAATATATTAAGTTTTATTAAAACAAAGTAGTACCTTTTAGTATTTTTATAATAGTTTCCTCTTCCTCCCAATTGTATTAAGCTTATAGAAAATCAGAAACTATAGAAGTTTAGAAAAAGGAAAAGTTGCTTACCTCACTCCCCAAAGACAACTGTTCATTTTGGGACATTTCTGTTTTATTTTCTTCTCGTCATCTTTTTTTTTTTTTGAGCTCTTACTGTATATTTTATCCTTTTTTTAAATGTAACATAATTATTTCCACATGTTCATGTAAATGTCTGATAAGCATTAAGATGGCTTCATAATATCTCATCCCATGATTACCTTAACTATTGGGTTGTCGGAAAAGTCATGATGTATTTTTTCTGTTTTTTGTTGCAAAAATGCGTCATGACTTTTCCGACAACCCAATAGTAACTTATTTCCCATGAATACTATTTAATGGTTAGAGCTTTATCTACTGTTTAGAACAGCTGTAAATTAGTGTTTGTTTTTTAAGAGCCCAAGAGTGTTTTCCGTACTGGGTGGATTAACACAAGTTCAATCTGGAAGAAGCCTGGGCTGGAGGAAGCCGTGGAGAGCGCGTGCGCCATGAGAGATGCGTTCCTGGGGAGCATCCCTGGCAAAAATGCCGCCGAGTACCAGGTTACCATCGTCATAGAGCCTGGGCTGCTCTTTGAGATAATAGAGGTAAGCATTCGTCGGTACCCTTTGAAATGTTGTATCATGTATCATACAGTTTCACCTGAAATCTCTCTGTATAAGATTTTTTTTCATTAAAAAATTAGGAGTTAGGATTTATGTTTTCTAATCCTGATACATCAAGGATTCTTTGCTTCCTTTCCCTTGTAAGACATTTACTTTGTTGCTCCGTTATAAGCCGGGACAGGGAAGCGATAATAGTTTTATTTGAAATGCATGGCAGTTTAAAATACACAGAAATTGGAGGCCTTGTAATAAGGGTCTGGCTGGCTGAGAATTTTGTCCACCTGGACTAGATTCAACACAAATCAAAGAAAGAGTTCAGTTTTTCTTCTCATGAGATCTAAAAAACACTCATTTGCTCCGGCAGATATGCACATGGTCTCAAAGCATTCATCCTGTTTTTATTTCCGAAAGGGCCATCAGAATTTTCTTCTTGTGATTCTTACGAGTTGATTGGCCCAGTTGGCTTAGAGCTTAATGTATTGACTCAAGATTTTTCTCCAGTTTGAATGCTTAGGAGAACGGGCAATGCATACATTTGACAGTTTGACCGGTATCATAGTTTTCTAAAAAATGACCATCTCCTTTCATTGGTAAGCTCAACTAAAGTTTTTAATATTGTAATCGATCAAGATTTGAGGCTTGAAATAGCAAGTACATATGAGATTGTTATTCCAATAACAGAATTTCGATGACATATTCACATTTTAAAATTCCTGGCTGGGAAGTTCTGACTCCCATTTTATGAGGAAACAGGAGCATTGGAGCTGCGACCTGGCTGAGGCCCCACGGCCAGCGCCATCATGTCATGCTTCCTGTGACTTCGTGAGCTCTGAGGAATAAGCTGAAAAGAATACAGCTTGTTTAGGTCATTGATATTGGGAAAAAACTTTGTATATGACTATATTTTCCTTAGGAATTACACTAAGTAGCTGTCATATGGAGTCCTGGTTCTGTCAACTACTAACTGCATTTGTTAAAACCAAATTAATCTCTTTGAATCTCCTGTTTTTAAAAAGGAATGTCTGTATTACTTAGTTCACAAACTCATTTTGAAAATTACAGTGAAAAATGTCCAAGTGCTTATCAAACAGCAGCGTGTCAGTGTCCTTCTCGAGGTCTGGGCGTTATTCAGTCATTGGTCTCCGTTGCTAAAAGCAGGTCCTTGTGTAGCGGGATCTGAACCCCTCCAAGGTAGGAAGCATGATACTGGGAAAAAGCATCGGCTCGGACAGGCCCTGGGCTGGAACTGCAGCTCCACACTTATCGATTAGAAAGTTGGACAAGGTCCCCTCTCGGAGCCTGTTTCTTCACTTGTAAATTGGGACAGTTACCACCGTGTAGGTGTTTTGTGATGATGAGAAATAATGGGCATTTAGCATCTAGCAAAGAGAAGTGCCAGCATAGAGTGTATTCTCCATAAAGTTTTTAGTCAAGACCTTTCATACTAGTAAGAACTGATTGATTTTAATATTAGCATCAGGAGGTAATGATACTAAGGGGTTTCTAACTAAACAAGAATTACCAGTGTCAGTGACCTCGGTTTATGGTAAAAATTTAACTTAGGAACGTTCACATGCTTCCTTGCAGATGCTACAAGCAGAGGAGACTTCCAGCACCTCTCAGTTGAATGAATTAATGATGGCTTCCCAGACCACTTTACTCCCTCAGGAACCACTGGAGATAGCTGCAGGTGTAACTGAGCTCAAAGGGACATTCCTCATCAACTTAGAAGGTAAGGAGGAGGCGGGAGTAACAAGTGGTAGCTGGAGAAGTGAATGGGTCATCTCCAACTTGAGAACAGGTGTTCTCAAGGCCGACACACACTTGGAATACACCTTTCCATGGAAACAAAGTAAACAATGGCCAAGTTTAAAAAGTGTCCTTCCTGCTGATCTTGGGAACCCAGGGCTGGGGACAGAAGAGGCAGTTTTCCTTCCCGCCCTGTGAATAAGTAGTAGTTAAGATTCTGGCTTACCTTGCTTTTCAAATGTCGATGTACATTCTTTGTGCAACAGCTAGACAATAATTTACTTTGTTTACTATGCGTTACCAGTCTGAGCTCTGAGAGTATGAACATGGCAGAATGTTTTGTGTCCTTTTGTCTTACGTGAGGACACTTTTTAAAATTCTTAAGTATGTGTCTGGAAAGGCAGTGTCATCTACCAGAACTCTACCAGATGAAGGGCTAGATGGCCTGCTCTGCCTGAGTTAGGGACAGAACGGAGTGACTCGGGGAAATCAGCCACCTCTCAGAGCCTCGGGTTCCTCAGCTTTCCTCCCTTGTCAAGTCGTGTGATTCTGTTGTCTTGGCTGTTTACGCCACGCGACGAGCTTTCCTAAGGCAGGAAGAAGAAAGCTTGAAAAAGGAGCACCTGCAACATCGATGGAGAAATAGCGATCAGATACTCCTCACGTGTTTTTCTTGCACAGGTGGTGATATTCGTGAAGAGTCTTCTTATAAAGTACTTGTCGCGCCGACTACCAAAGAAAAATGCCCTCGCTGTTGGAAGTACACAGCTGAGTCTTCAGACACACTCTGTCCCCGATGCGCGGAAGTTGTTGGTGGAAAGTAGGGCCTCTCTGCTGTTGAGAGCTGTCCGAGCAAGACCCTCAACAGTACTGACGAGTTTACATGGATCATTTACAACGTTGGAAAGAAAGCCAAGGCTTAAGTAGTGAGTGGAAGAGTAAATGGTGGAGGATGACAGTCAAAGTAAGAATTCTACGATTTTCCTGTAACTAGATAGAAAATAACGTGTATATGGACATGCAGACACACACATATGCAGAGGGATCGATCTATCCATGATGGACTCATTCAGAACAGACACTGAATATGCTTGCCTTCCAATGTGGCTTAACGGAAAATGTTTTATATTTTATAAGTCTTTTTGACTTAGTATTTAAGTTCTATAACGTCTAAAAATAAAGGCATTCTAGAAAATTATTAAGTGATGGTGGTGCAGAAGTTGAGCTATCAAGTAAAAAAAAAAGAAACGGTTTTGACTGGGAATGGCAGACGTTGTGTTTTCTTTGAGAGATGAAAGGAAAAATTTCATCACCTTACTAGCGAACACCACCTTTTTGGAATAGCTGGCTTTGTCTGGTTGCATTAAAAGAAAAATATCACCAAATTTGTTCTTCTCATATAATAGGAAAAAAATCTTAATAGTATGTACTTGATTTAGGAATGTTAAGGAAACAACATGAAAGCTGAAAATTTATTTCACTATTATACATAAGTTCACAACAATGAAAGACACAGAAACCAGCAGTATATACAGAATTCCACTACTTACAGTACATTACACTAGATAATAGAGCATTTTACAAACAACTCAGTGTTGGATTAAAATCGCTCTAGGGATGATTGATTCTATTCAGCAGAAAACTGTCAGGGTGAGAGGGCTTCCCCTGTTGCCATCGAGTACTTCAAAAATATTTGTCTCATAAAAAATTAAAAGAATTGCAGCAACTTCTAAGTGAACATTATATTCCCTGTACACTTAGTATTATTAAATCTGGGTTTTCTGTGGTTTTAAATTGCAGTTAATAGTGTTGTTTTTTTTTAAGAAACCAATTTAAATACAAGTGTTTACGTTGACCTTAGATGAATTTTTGCTGGTGGAGGTCTTGCCTTCAATCTGTAAAAACCTTAACACCTGAAGTGCAATAAAGTGAAGCACAGTAAAGCGAGGTCTGCCTGCCTGCACACAGCTATGTATGTTCTTCTATCAGATTTATTTTATTTTTATTTTTTAGCTGAGCCATCCTGCCACCTGTTGGCAGCTCAGTGGCAGCTCAGCTCGGGCCGGGACTCGAACTGCTGTTGCTCAGAGCGAGTTCTTAACCAACTGAGCCACTTGGCTGGCCCCTATCAGATTTATTTTAAAAGCCCTTGATGAAATAGCAAAATACGTAACTGCTTTTCTTAACCATACAACTCAGCATTCGACTTTAAAATTCTGAGTGGTAAATTTTAGGATTGCAAAGCTAACTAGAGACTCAATGATCTGTTAGGGTTCTATGTGCCATTATTTCAGCTTATTAATATTCTCAACAATGCCCATATTTCATTATGTCCTACCAGAATAAGTGTAACCAGTTTTATTGCCTCAAATGCTTAGTATGAACCCCTCCCTCCAAAGTGATAATGGAATCAAAGTGAAGATTTAGTCTTTAAAAATGCTTATAATTCCAAGTTTCTTTGACCAGCCTCCAAAATGTATAACTACTTTCTGAATATTTAGAAAAATCACAGGAAGAACTAATCTTTCAGAATACATATAACCAGTGCCTATAAATAAAGCAAGAGCTATTTCTGAGAACTCATGGATGTGTCTGGATGGGGTAGCAGAGATCCAAGCAGAAGCCGAGAGGCTGGACTAGCTGAGGTCCTCGTCACACTGCACACAGCGTGTGCCTCGATCAGACTTACAGGCCCCTCACCCCAAACTCTCAAGAAAGCCAAAAAACTTATTTTTCAAGATTTTAAATTAAAACAGTAAATTCTTATTTGGATGTGATCTTTTAGTTAAAAAGAATCCACATTGGGATAGCCTCAAACATCAGACATTTCTTCCCTTATGTCCCTGAAGGACATACTCAACTTTGTACAGTTGCTAGAGCTGGCTTCTTACACGGAAGGAAACGAACTCCTGTATCACAATAAGTTACTATGAATAGTAACTGTGATCCATGACCGGTATCAATAATTGCACTGTATGGCTACATTCCAAAGATATATACCACGAGAAATACTTGGTATTTGTAGAACTCAAAGCACTTGTTAGAGTTTTCGTTAATTTGGTTTCGATCAAATGGTTATTCAGCACTTGGACAGCTCTAGGCACCACCGGGTACCCAGCTGTGAGGTAGGTTTGCTAAAGCTGTCATATCAACTGAGCATTTTCTGTCCTGTGCCCAAGAAGAGATAACATTCCTGGGTCCCAGAAGCAGACATTTCTAAACACTTGTAGGAAAAATAAAGTTGGACTTCATCTTTTAGCATCTTTGCCCTTCTTTAAACATAAGTTTTACAAGATAATACATTTTTACAATTACCTGATGTGGATACGACTTTGAATCTTGGCAAAAGGTAGATCTTACCTTGTACTGTAATTAATTTTTGCTGCGTTGCTCGCATCTCAGAGTCTCAATTTTGGCAACTACAGCAGGTACCTTGGTACTTGACACGGGTTCTCTCTAATGTCCCTTCTGATGACTATGGTGATCTCGAACCCTTATTCCTCTGCAAGGTCACATCCTCTGATGGCAGCAGCACAGCCTCTGGTAAAGGAACCCGTCCGCGTCCCAAGCTCCAGGTGACAGTCCAGTGTGGATGAGGCATGAGAAGAAAGCATTGCCTAACACTTATTAAAGCAGAGTGGGCTGCTTCTCTATTTCACTGACGGGGACTATACACGGACACGTTGAAATTTACTTAGAACAATCACATTTTGAGTATGAAATATAGAATCTTATAATAAGAACATAATCTGTAAGTTATAACCAATTTTAAATAGCAAAATTGAACAATAAAGCTACGTAAGTGCTTGAATTAGAAATGAACAGTAAAACATCTGTATTCGTAATTAATAGTGAAATTGATATTTGTTTATATTTTACCTTCAGTATTAACCAAAGGAGTGGAATTTAGCCAGCACTGTACTTTTTAAAAGGAATATATACGTTTATTTATAAAAGAAAAAAAAACAAACATACTCCCTCCGTAAAATTCCAGCTTACTATGTAAAATAGCCATGCACTAATTCATGTGATAGTCACACAATTTTAGGCTGTTTGCAGTGGACGCGGGTCATAAAGAAGGAAGAGAGATGGCTTCCACAGCTTCAATGAGGTGCAAGGCTAAACTGTACTGCCCGTGGTTTTCTGGTAGAAGCTCAATTACTTTATTTACGAGTTTAGCTGTTGTTGCAATTGGCACTTCTGTGTTTTGAAGATCCTGGGGGTCCTGCAAATGGGACAGGAAAATAACCCATCAGTTACACACAACTAAATAAGTGTTACTAACTTACGAGTCATCAGAATAGTTACCTCCCAACAAAAATGCTTTTCTTCAGAACTAAGTAAATTAAACTTGTAATTAAAATTTTCTCTTTAGCTGTTATTAAATAGGCATTTCCGATCACACCCAATCACCTGATTGATCGCCCTCTACTGGACTCACCATCGCTTTCAGCCAAGTGCAGAGTGTGGGTGGGAGCCTGGCAAGCAGTTCCATTCCTTCTTTTGTCTGTGTGTGGAAGAGTGCGTGAGCCAGCCTCTGCCCTGTCAGCACCAGCAGCTGGCTGGCGAGGACCTCTTTGTCGTGAACCTGGAGCGTGGCCTGCGGAGGGGAACATGGACACTTGTACAGTGGGCGCTAAGAGCCTGCCCTGCCCCAGGAAAGGCGTTCCCAGTGGCGAGTCCGTCTAGTTCATTTTGATCTGTGTGGCGCCCCTTCCACATGGTTTTTTTTCAATACTTTATTTTCTCATATGATTTTCTTATTTTCTCCAGCTTACTGTATCGTAAGAATACAGTATAAAATACATATTAAATGTGTTAACTGACTGTTTATGTTAGTGGTAAGACTGCCAGTCAGTAGGAGGCTATTACTATTTAAGTTTTGGGGGGAGTCAAGTTATATGTGGATTTTGAACTGCGTGGGGGTCAGCTCCTCCAGCCCCCATGTTGATCAAGGGTCAACTGTACAAAATATAGTCCAAATCAAACTTAGCATTTAAAATCCAAATTTCTGCCATCACCTGATTTTTTTTTTCCTCTTATCACCTAATTTTCCAAGTCAGTATGACTAAACAAGTCATTTTCAAGCTTCTGGCAGAGAAAGGAAATTATATTCAATCACTTTACAACTGCTAAAAACCCTCTGCTGGCTTCTGACGATGCTGTGAGTAACCATGGCGACGAGACCGACGCTGTGGCCCCTGCCCACCCCCTCACGTCACGCTTCGTCACTCCTGCTCACTGTGCATGGCCTTTTCCTGGACCTTACCAAGCCAGTCCCCGCCGCGGGGCCTTCGTACTTATTATTTCTGCCTGGAGCACTGTTCCCCCAGTTTTCCGAGTAGCTGGTTGCTGCTTATCCTCGGGGGCCTGGTTCAAATGTTACCTCTGGCCACCCCATTGTAGTAGCTCCTGTTCATTCACATGATCCCATTTATTTTCTTCATAACATTTATGACTCAATACAAAATTCAGCATGCTTGTCTGCTCCTACTAGTAGGCTGCCAATTCCCTGAGGGAGGGGCAAACCTTGTCTGTTTTTACTGTGACACCCGCTGCACAGAACAGGCCTGGCACATGGTAGGCGTTTACCAAGCATTAACCAGAAACGGAATTTGATTCGTTTTATATTTTAATATTCTGTTCTATTTTCGTGCCTAGCCGTTCTAACAGGAAAAGCAAAAGCTTTATTGGAGACTTTCCTGATTCTTTACTCCAACCATCAGTTTTAGAACTTGAGCCCCATTAACCTTGCTAAGGGGATTCTTACCTCTTCTCCTAAGTGGTCGACGCCATAGTTGTAGAGTTCTCCCACGTAATGCCTTCTGACAGTATCTTCACTAACTTGAAGGTGATGGGCCAAGTCCATGGCTAGAACTGGCCAATCTTGGTCCTTCCCAAAAGGAGTGGTCGGTGCCTTTTCTGAGGAATCTTTGTCCTTTGCGACTGGATGTTGGGCCTGGACGGCTGCACTGACAACTTTCAGTAAGAGCTTGAGAAGGGAGAAAGAAACACAGAAAGCAACACCTTAGTCATATGTTTCCTTAAAACATCTAAATCAAAGTAATTGTTGGCTTTTCTGTCGATTAGAGTGGCTTTCCCATTAAAATTGCTGAATTATCAAAAAAATAACAAAATTTAAAGGGAACCCAGCTCTCAAGAATACTTTTAAAGTGGTCATCCTTTAAAGGCTTTACTGTTTTTTCCGAGAAATAAAACACAAAATCCCAAAACTAAATTACCTGTTGTCGTAGAGAAATAAAGTTCGGATCCATTTCCCCACTAGGTAGTAACTGAATTGAAGTTAGGTCTTTGAAAAATGCATTTTTCCCCTAAAGAGAAAGAAGGGAACAAGAAAACTGATAAGCATGGATTACTATAAAGAGGGGAAAGATTTTTTTAAACGTCATTTAATTAACTCATGGTTGATTTCTTTTTTTCTCCTTGAATAGTAACATTTTAGAATTTTATTCTAGAATTTTATTCAATTCACTTTTATCACAACTCCCTAGTATGCAGTAGGCAGCCCTTCAGGTGGTCCCCAGTGATCCCCCGCCTTGGGTGTGGGCTAGTGACAAACTGCTAGCAAAGAGAATTAGGCAGAGATGACAGCATGTCACTTTCAAAATAAGGTTATAAACGGACTGTGGCTTCTGCCCGGGTGCTCGCACTCGCTCACTCGCTCTGGGGAAGCCAGTTGCCACGCAGTGAGCTGCCACATGGAACAGAAACCCTGTCCTGTGAGCTCAGAAGCGGGTCCCTAATCCCCACCCCAGCTGAGCCCTGAGATGAGACCACGGCCCTGGCCGACATCCTGGCTGCACTCGTCAAGAGATTCTGAGCCAGAAACACTCAGATAAGGGGGACCCAGATTCTTGACCCACAGAAATAATAATAAATGTCTCTTGTTTTCAGCCACGCAGTTTTGGGATAATTTGTTATGCAATAATAGATAACTCATACACAGCGTGTACTCTAAATCCTGTTAAAAGCACCTGTTTGAGAATAGGTGTGTGTTTGAAGACACAAAACACAGTATCTGGAAATAGGGTTTAAGATCCTTGGAAGGACATGTAATACAGAGCAGAGCGCGGCACGGGTTTCTGTGTTGGAATCCACAGGCGGAACGCCACAGTGAAAACCATATCTATCCAAACGCGCTGAGCACCCTCTACTGATCAACGTCCTGCTCAGTGCCAACATGGCTCTGAACTCCTTTGAGGCACTTACCTTACTATCAAAAAGGGACAGTGGCTTCACAGCCTTCAGAGAAAACCTCATGATCGCGTAGAGGATGGAGCACAGGATGGAGTGGTGCTCGACCAGCGGGTAGTGGATGTGTTTCTGCTCAAGGGCCAGTTCCACTATGGAGACTGGCCCCTCGACAGTCAGCCAAGCATCCTCGGTGTCCAGGACGGGCGCCTGCATCTCATCCCTGCTGACATCTGCCTGAGTGTTTGAAAACCGAGACATGAGAGCTTGCAAGTATCTTACCGAGCTGCAAGCAGCTAAGTGCAAACCCGTCTGCCTCCCAAATTATAATAAAAACAAGCCCCAAGAGCTGGTTCTAATAAGAAACATCACTACTTTTAGGCTGATGTCAAAACTTTCAGATGAATACAGGAAAATTTTTCTGTAGTCCTTTAAGTCCAACCATTTCCAAAATATTAAATATCTCAGTTCAGAATGAAAAATACACCTCTTTTACCTCCATTAAAGTCTGAAGGAGATCCAAGCAGGAGCCAAGGAAGGAGGTCATGGCTGTGTCGCTCATCCCCACATCCTGTTACAAAAAGGAACGTAATTAGCTCCTGCAGCCAAACTGCTCCAGTTACTATCAGAAAAAGAAATAGTACACAACACGCTGGTCAACTGACTTTCTACATGGGACCGGCAAGAATAAGAAAGTCAAAGCATTAGTGCATTTTAGTTCCTTTACAGACTTAACTAACGTTAAGCTTAGGCTTTAAAAAAGATGGCACTACTATCAACTTTTAAAAATTAGCATTGTGGGTGTATTGTAAACACACGGTGTCATCAGTCACCATAGATGGTGGCGCTCGCACTCATTGTCCAAGAATTCACAGATAGGCATTGGACAGCCAAATAATCATGGTATCTGGGAAGATACACGCCAGAGGCTATGTGAAAAGTTTTAAGAAAACAGCCTGGTCTGGTTTCAGAGCCTGTTTTAGAGACTGAGCTGAACTCTGTGAACAAAATGTGAACCCCCAAGCCTGTGAACTAAATACCAGACTCACGCTGTGGACACAGATTACTCCTGTTGACGCCCTTAAAGGGCCTGCACAGGCGCCACTGATTCACATACAATCTTTTTTAAACCAACAGCCAATGAATCCCTCACATCCCTAAGTAATTCAGATAGTGCGTGTGTGGACATATGTGAACTGTAATCACAGAGACACTCAAGCACATACCAGAATCCAACAGTGAGGACCTTTCGGGACTAAGGCCTATAACAGCTGGGTTTGCATGTCCCAATATTTCTTAATATATTTGTGATAAGAATATTTCAAAGTTTTGAGCAAAAGTTAGCACTATTAATCCCTGGCCTCACCTAGAAGCACCAGTATCTGAGGACTGGGATATTATTTAAGACTTTTTGTACAATGATTATTACATAAAGGTAGATCGGATTCACCACTCTTGAATCTACTTCAGTTTGATGTCGGATGTGCCATTATAAATTTCTAACACAAGTACGGCAAAAATAAGCAGCAGTGGCACCATGTTACCCTCCTGTCCACAGTCCAAAGTTGAAGACATCTTGTGAAAACTTAGTGTAAATATGCTGACAATCGAGAAAGGTAAATTAAAATTGGCCAGAGTTCATGAGCAGTTCCTGAAGATAGTCTTCGCTTTCCATTTTTCTTATCTCCTGATATGTCACCACAACAGTAAAAGCCAAAGTTCACCCCTACGGATAATAAGATCCTATTGCAAGTGCAGGATTAACAATTACACATCTAATCGTGGGGGATTGACTTACCCTTCGGCATAACCTATCCTTTGGGGATTTTCCAACCTAAGACAAAAGGACACAAAATGCTGTATTTATTTAACTAAATAAAAAGACATTACTATGGTACAGGAAGCAAAAAGTTACCAAATTTAAAAAATATTAATGCAGCTATACATAAATGTGGCAACCTTTTATCAATTAAATGTTGGTTCCACTCATGTATATAACACAATGCAATTAATTTTGTGGTGGAACATAAAAATATATTACAAAAAATGTATCACACCAGGCTCACACATAATCCTTTTCAAAAATAAGTATTTTTCAGCTAAATAAGAAAAAACGCTAAAAAATCTGGTTCTGACTTCATATAATCAAATAACTGTTGCCTTAAGACCCAGAACCAAACTGAAGACACGAACAAACAGCAGCTAAAAATTTTGCTTGTTGATAAAGATACACAATGATTTTAAATGGTCAGAAAGAAGGAACAGTCTGAAGCAGACAGAAGTTCTGTTTCTAGTTCAGAAAAGCAGTTGATTTCCGTGATTCTATGGTACTTAATAAGATTAAGATTGCACTCTATTCTTTATATGGGCAACAAGGGGCAGACAGAAGTTCTGCCCGTCAGGGACTCGATAAGAATTCACAGGAGACAGTGACAACGGGAGGGAGGGACCCCAGTACCAAGGACCCGTGGCCTCATTACCTCTTGCTGAGATGACGGCCATGGCCTTGGAACAAGCAAGCTCAGCCCGCCCCGATTCCACCATATTTCACCCAGTTGCCAGACTCTTCTAAGAAGCAAATCTGAACGTATCATTTCACTGCTTAAGACTGCCCCAATGTCTGCGAGATAAAATAACAGCTCCATTTACGGAGCCCTTACCCCACGTGCCAGGCCCCACGCTAAGCAGCTGACACATACTGGGAAACCCCCAACCCGCGGCCTACACAGGAGGCTCTTCCCGCCCCTTCCTCCAGCCTGTGCTGCACCCACGAAGCTACGGCAGCTCTGAGCCAACAGCTCTGAGCCGACAGCTCTGAGCCGACACGCTGCCTGCTGTCTCCAGGACTCTCTCTGGTTCATATGTATTCATCCTCCAAAACTCAGCTCAGAGGCCTCCCCCGACTTGTTATTTATTTCCTCTTCTGAGTCCCTGAAGCACCCTGTCGTCTATTCGCCCATTCTTTGGACTGACTTCTTTGTGGGCAGGGACTGGGACTTTTATCCCTGCAGCCACAGAACTTAGCAGTCCTTGGCCGAGAAGTGACACTTCATAAATATTCATCGAGTGAATGATCATAACTGCTTCCTAGTTCAGCAATGTTTAAACCCAGGTTATGGGGATGCTGTAAACTGTAACCAGTAACCCACACAGAAAAGGCTTTGCACTGTTCTTCCCTCAAAAGAGGGGTGGTCAGAGGTGAAGTAAAACAGAACAGTGTCATAAAGGCAAATGGAGTGAGTTTCAAGAAAGAAGCAGTTACGGGGGCAAGAAAGATGAACATACAGGAAAGGATAGCTTTCCCTAGAAAAAAGTCACCAATGATGCCCAAAAAGCATTCTCAGAGGAGCTGGGGCCTAAAGTGGGTCTGAATTCCAGTGCTGTTCGTGGCTTCAGAATGTCTGTCACTTCATTTAAAAGAACATGTCAGGGTCGGCCGAGTGGCTCCGGTGGTTAACAGTGTGAGCTCTGAGCAACAGGGTGGCCGGTTCGATTCCTACATGGGCCAGTGAGCTGAGCTCCTGCTAAGCTGCCAACAGGTGGCAGGATGGCTCAGCTGGTGAGAGCACGTGCTCCTAATAACAAGGTTGCCGGTTCGACTCCCGCATGGGATGGTGGGCTACGCCCCCCTGCAACTAAGACTGAACACGGCACCTTGAGTTGAGCTGCCCTGAGCTGCCCACTAGCGGCCGGATGGTGACTGGACTTGGAGCTGAGTTAGCTGCGCCCGCCACAACTAAGATTGAAGGACAACAACTTGGCTGTTCCCCTTCCCCAATTCCCCAATAAAATCTTTAAAAAAACAAAAACAAAAAACAAACGAACATGTCATTACAGTGGTAATTCTTCTGCTATCCACTTCACTGAAGCCAGAAGCTATGTTCCCGATGGGCCTGGGAGGCACACTGACCCGGCCTGGCAACTCTGCTGGAGGCTGGGGGCTGCTGTCCAGTCTGCTGGCAGCCTCTGCTCCCACCAGCTGGTACGTGTTTATGTGCTGTGTTTGTTCCCAAAGTTACTTATGCTGGTTGCACATATAAGGTAATTATGCAGTTTAATTCAGTAACTGATGAAATGCGAATGAGGAAAGTGAGGGAGTCATTGATATGAATACTGCATCAAATGCTGTAAAAAGATTGATGGAGGACAGTAACTAACTCCTACGTCTACTGGATTAGATGTAGGAAATGATAAAAATTAGGGGATAAGTTATACAAATATGAAGATTTTACACTCAGAATGCATCACAACTTTAAAGAAACAGGATCTAGAACTCAGTGCATTATGGGTGAGGTTTCTGCAGGAAAACCTAAGTAGAGCTTCAATTTCCCCTTTCAAAGAAAATATCTTGGCCCTACATGCACAGACTGGTGAGTAAGCGTACACTGGTACGTTTTCATTTAAAATCAAGTGCAAGTCCTTGCTTGAATCAACCCCCGTCCCAGTCTCTTGGGTTAAGAGGCTTTTACTATGGTTCCCTTTTGAGGGTTTCAGGGTCTTGTTCAAGTCATCAAAATGCCAGCACTGGGAAGTTCAGTTCACTGAGCAAGACTAAAATGTAGCATCAAATAAAAAACAGTCTAACAAGGCCCCATATAAATCATCTTTCTAACATCCAATAAGGGGACCAAATAAACAAGAAGTCGGCCCATGGAGGTGAATTATCGTACCTTATCCATCAAGTACGTAGCGGCAGAAAACCTTTTCACCAAGAACGTGTTCCACATCATCAGTGCGATGCCTAGAGAGCAAGGAAAAGGAAAGTGGAAAACAGGTTTCCATGTTTTCTCTTTCATCACGCAGAAACGACAGTCTTCATTAAGCTCATAAAACTACATGGGCTACTGGTGTAGATATCCTTTCTTGTATCTTATGTAATATTTCTAAAATTAATAAAAACCTTTATTGTTTAAGAAAAATCAGAACTGGGCTGCATAAGAGGATGTCCACATGGCCAATAAGCATAAGAAGACATTCACATCATCAGTTATGAGAGAAAGATAAATTAAAATCCAAAGCGATATCATTATACAACCAACAGAAAGGCTAAAAAAGTTTTTTAATGACACCACCAAGTGTTGACAAGGATGTGTAAACTGGAACGCTCATACACTCCTGGTGGGATGATAAATTGGTAAAACCACGTGCAAAATTGTCAATATATCAGCTAAAGCTAACTAGGTGTCCACCACGTGACCCAGCCGTTCTACGGCGGGAAATGAACACACAGGAATGTACAAGAGTGTCAGCTTCACAGCTTCAAGAGGGCAGCTTCACTCGTAAGAGCAAAACCCTGGAAACAAACCCAAAGCCCAGCCATTGACTCTTCTCCTAGGCAACCACCAAATAAAGTGATACATAAAAAAATTATTAAACGAAATAGAAAAATAATTTTTAAAAATTACCACCAAACAGAAAACCTAGTCTTCATACTTTCATAGTCAATCAACTGTGGCATTGAAATGAACATTTCTGAACCAGTTGTCAGGTAGGCAGTGTAGACATGACACTTTACATGCGGTGATTATTATCTCGTAGCTGCTTCTGTATCTAGGAGTGAGGTCCTGCAAAGGCTGCCAAGGGGCCAAGAAGCAGACTCTGTGCAAACTGGGTAAAGCTCTAGCTTGAAGAAATGCTAGCCTGAAGTCAGTAGGTAACTTAATTTGATCAGAAAGGACAGAATACTCTAGAGACCGTATTTCCCAAATGAACCACTTAAATCACTTTTTCTTGGAAGAAAGTAAGATCTAAGAGATAAATAATTTTCAACTTCTCTTCCTGTACCAGACATTTTAGAATTTCTGCAATTTGAGGTGATAACCTGCAGGAGGGTGGTCCAGAAAAAGTAGCTTCGCTAGAATTTATCACGTGAACATGAAGGTGATACCTCCTCTTACTCAGCCCCAAGCCTACTCTCAAAACTTAGTAAGATGACTCACTAGCCTACAGCTGAGTTCCTCGAGTAAGTCTTACAGGGAAACTCATCTATCTATACATGGAGCCAGCAACCAGCTGTAACATTTTTTTTTTTTCAAGGACACCGCAGCAGTCCCCAGGGTACAGCAGCTAGCAGGGAACAGTCACATTTATTAAAGAAGCACATGGTGGCTTCTAAGGTACAGTATCATGAGGCTTTGGCTACGTAACTTTTTAATCAGGAATTAGTCCTGAGCGGCCCATCCCCCTTTCCTTACCTGCCTGTGAACCAAACAAGGAATCAGTAATTCATGCATCACATTCTCCTTGCTTACATCTAGGGATAGTAGTCAGCTTGGGTGAAGATGGGTGGGGACAGACGTGACGGTTACTGCCAAACCCCCTCCCTTTTCTGGACAGTATTTTGCCAAGCAGTTAAAACGGCCAGTACTTTGTATACGGCAATACATGGCAATGTGTTGGGTGCTAAGACCATCAAATGAACATTTAACAGGACGGGAATTTAAAGATTCTTTCCTCTTTTGAATCAAACGGTTATATTTTTAACACCCATTTACTTACCATTCTGAACATGTGCATTAAGAATGTGCTTCAAGTGTTCTATTGACCTAACAAAAAAACGTGCTTCCTTACATAAAGGGAGAAGAAAAGAGAAAAAAAAAACTATCATTTAAAAGGTATTTCAAATACAAATGGAGATTTCTTACATAAATTTCTGCATAAAGCTACATAAGAATGTTGCCATAATGGAAGTATTAGGTAAGAAGTAATTTTTCATACGATAATGTCATGGTTTCTCTTACATTCACATTATCTATATAATGACTGACTCCTGGAACCACCCCCCCACTCCCCCAGGTCATATATACTGACATCTGGATTCAAAATTTACTGTAGTTTGTACATCGTAACAGTGTTCTCTTCAATAAAAATACATGAATTTCACACAGCTATGAAAACAGTGGGTTTACTTCTTTGCAAATATCACTCATCCATTATTTAACAAATATTTATTGAGCAACTACTATGCACCAGGCTGTCTGAGGCACCAGGAATACTGTAATGTACAAGACAGACCCAAATCCTTGCCCTTACTGAGGTTACATTCTAGTGGGGGAGCCAGATAATAAATACAAGCAAATTACACAGTGGTTTAGTGACAAATGCCTAGGAGAAAACATTAAACCAGTGAAGGGAAATGTGAATGACCAGGGATGACGTTGAAATTCAACTCTTTCTACTCAAGGTAGTTTACATAGTAAAACTCAAATATAACATGTAAAACTACCCAGATCTTCATTAAATGATTTTGTAGCCTGTACAAAAACTGAACACTTCACCTTTGGTAATTTCAATTGTTTTGAGCCTAATAAAGCTGTGTGTGTCAAATGGTGGAACTGGGGCAAGGAGATCAATATTCAACAGGAAAAAAAAAACAACTAAGAAAAATGGCCACTTATTTCAAATGTAAACATTTCTAATAATAGACAATGATAACACGAGTCAAAATGTCGGGCACTAAGCATGCATTTTCTCTACAAACTGCTACAAACTTCAAGGCAGCTTCTAGTACAGTCCTCATTTACTTTAAAGACAAAATTGAGCACCAAGGGCTCAGAGGCATTCGCAAAGGTCGTGAAGCTACTAACTACCATGTTTCCCCCAAAGTAAGACCAGGTCTTATATAAATTTTTGCTCCAACAATCTGCATTTATTCATGTATTCATGTAAACAAATCTACATTTATTTAAACAGTCGTGTCTGGCGGACAACCTTAACTGGGGCTTATGTTTGGGGTAGGGCTTATATTACGAGCATCCTGAAGAATCATGCTAGGGCATGATAAAGAGTAGAGGGAGAAAAAAAGGGCTCAGAGATTCAGTGACTGGTCCAAACCCAGACCCCTGTCAGACATGCATCAAATCCAGGTCTCCTGCCTGCAGCCTGGGCCCCTTCTCCCCACACCGCCTCCAGACTGAATTGAATGTCCTGGGAGAGAGGGTGGTCCCCAGGAGTGGGAGCCAATGGGGCACAAGCAGGGAGTTCTGAGAGCAACGAGGCTGAGCCTGGATCAGTCAGCCCTGTGCACGGTAAGGCCTTAATTTTTCTTCTGAGACCAGTAGACGAGACGTGATGAACAAATACAGTCCTATCTGTACAGTCACACATGAGGCTGGCATCAGGCCCGTTCCTCTGGCTTTCACCATGATCACTATAACACCGAGAACGTTCTATCAGGTAGGTGCTCCCTCATGCAGGGTTCAAAAGTAAATAAAAAATAGACACATCACTACCGAACCAGGAGTACGTAAAACACGCTCGCTGGCTGTAGACAGAGAAACCTAGGCTGAAACCCTGGTCCTACCACTGACTTGGCGGTGTGCGTGGCCTTAGGCAAGAGCTTCACTTCCCTGAGCCCCAGCTCTCTCCTCTAGAGTAAGGAGGACAGCAGCACCTGCACCCCACAGGTTTACTGTGAGGATTATACAACAGAATGGAGAAAAAGGCCTAGCACACCTCCTGGTACGGAGACACCCCGAAGGGAAAAAAGCCAGTGTTCATAATAAGTCATCCAATAAAACGGCCCCACACAGGTAGAGCACGAAAGCAGAACACACACAAAGGCGAGAATGAGTCTCACCTCTGGGTCTTTGTTCCACTGAACGACATACTCCCAGCAGCAGTGTGCATGCAGCACGTCCAGCTCCAGGCTGCAAGGAAACTGCCGGTAGGCCAAGCGCAGCAAGTCTGAAAGTCAGAAGCCAGGGAGACCTTATTCCTGCCCGCCTGGCAACTCAGCCACATCTCCACTCTGATTTCACATCTCTCCATATTTGTTACCTGGAATGGCTCCTAAGTCCATCTCTACCTCTGACACCTCAATTAAACCTCTGGGAATACCTTCTTTGGGCTCGTCTGGGTTTTCTGCATCTCTTTCTTTACTGGCCAGTCGTAGCACTTCAGGCCTGAGGTCCTGTTTAAATATCCACTTGGCCACACTGTCTGCAATGCCACCTACAGTTTGGAGACAAGAAAGAAAAGGAACTTAGGCGGTGTTTGCCGAAGGGGGTCCATACAGGGCGTGACCTGCATTTCCTGTGAAGGGATCTAAGGGTCACGTTCAGTTGAGAGCCTGAAAGTGACCCCTGAAGCCATGAGACCACGGCCGTGTTCCTATTCACCAACTCAGCTTGTGAGTGAGGGCAAGGGGGGTCCTTGGTATCTAAGGGCACATTTATACTCTCGCAAAATATGAGAGACGTTAAGTGCATGTGAGTATGTATGTCTGTATCCTGCCTACTTTCCGTGTTCACAAATTCACAATATTCTTTACCAGCCATATAGACAAAGGGCTAAAAACATCTTCACAACATTTTCATATAAGTGAAAACTGATTGATCAGCATGACCCTTGACTACGCTTCTTAGGGCAATACATTTAAGAGTCAACAAACTTGCCTGTATGGAATATTTCTGGGCAAAATTTAGTCACATTTAATCAACAACATGATGCTATGCCATGCTGTCATCAATACAGTCCAACAAATTATAAATGCAAACCAGGAAACATTCAAGGTGAAGAATCCTGTTTATTAAATAGCTACAACAAATTTATACAGTCTTCCGAAAATTTTGGTCCAAATAGGTCCAAACTCCTTCTCTCAGTCTTTCCTCCTATTTTGATTCAAACAGAAACCTTTCCACAAAAAGAACGCCTCCCAGCAAAATCACAATTATCAGCAAGAATAAATGAGAGCAGTGTGCTGGGTTATCTAATTTCTCATGCTTGGCCTCCAAATCTTTTTGATAATTCTCTTTCCAGAATCAAGCCCGATTATAGTGTGTCAGTTAATATTAAAACGGTGTTCCCACACTTTCACCAGGTGGCACCTGGGGTGTTGTGAGTTTGCAATTAAAAGCTTTCACAGGTCTTACAAAGAATGAGAGAACAAGTTAACTAAATAAAGATCTATAAAAACCCAGGTATTTTTATTTATTTATTTATTTTTAGCTGCGCCATCCTGCCACCTGTTGGCAGTTCAGCTCGGGCCGGGAATCGAACCGGTGACCCTGCTGCTCAGAGCTCATACTCTTGAGCGAGCTCTTAACCAACTAAGCCACTTGACCAGCCCAAAACCCAGGTATTTATAAACCCAGAAATAGAGCATCCCAGTATCAAAGCCTGACAGAGCTGCTGGCGAGAGGGAGCGAGGCAAGATAATTCAAAATGTAAGATGCTTATGGTCCTGCAAGACATAAGCACCGGAACCCAGTGACTCCAGGACAGTACAAAGTGATGCATCGGAAAAGAGGGATAATGCTCTGTGGAAATGAGGAGGAAGAAGAGAAAAGCTGCAGGTAGTGGCTCATCGGAGATTTCTGGGAGGAGGTGCATTTGAACGGGGCCTTGAAAGATGAGTAAGATTTAGAATCCATGAGTGGGAGAGGTGCGTGAGGGGCGAGCACAGGCTCAGACCCACACAGATGTTTCATCTGCACTAAAGTCTAGTGACAGGCAAGCAAGAGATGGAAAAATGGGCTGGGTTCAAAGTCAAAAGTTCTCAGAGAGCAAAGCTTCAGAATTTACACTGTTCCAGCAGCTTTTGAACGTCCTATTCTGCCTTAGCCCCAAAGAATTTTAATGTATGGGTTATACTTGTTGATATTTATGGCATTAGAAATTAAAAAAATATTTTTATTAATCTTTTTAAAGTGAAAACAATAAACCCATTACACATCCTATTCTCCCAAAGCGAAACTAGAAGTTTAGTGAGAAGCGTGGCGCCACACCGTCCTAGTCCTTCTTGGGTCTGGCTCGCATCTGGAGCCTGCCAGCAGCTTCTGCGTTCCACCCACTGTGGTCAGCTGTGTGGGGTGAAGTATACGGGGAAGATCTGGCCTCGCACAGGCATGAACTTGGAAAAGGGAGGGCTCATGAGGTCCTCGGAGCATTCTTTGAGAACCTCTCCTTGTGTGGTAAGGACGGCCGGCGGGATGGGGTTGGGGGGAGGCACCTGGGGGTCCCTGAGCCGTGAACTGACAGGTTCAGACGTTGAGGAGATTAACTGAGAAGTATGTGGTGGGTTATTTATGTATTTTTTAAAATCTGAGTGTGCTTCTCTTTCCTTATTCTTTCAGTGATTGCTATAAAAAACAAAACACAACACCAAAAAAAAAAAGCCCATATCATAAAAACCCAGATACAAAGGTCCAAACGCTCAGATAGATTTCAGCGTACCTTTTCCTCCTTCTAGAAGCTTTCTCACAGAAAGCCTGGGCAGTGGCTCCGTCTGTGGCGACGACACTTTGGAGGGTCGAGTGCTGGCTCTGCTGTGAAGCAGGGTCTGAAGTATGAGACAGTCCTCTAGCTGTTTCAGCAGGAGTTCCCAGTATTCCATGTCCAGAGAAAGGGCCTCCCAGGAATCAGTATCCAAAACCTGACAGAAAAAGCGCTGGTGACACTCCAGCCAAGATTCCGAATCACCGTCAACGTGGATGAGCTTTGAACCGGAGGGCTGCTGGGTCATCAGGGTACGCGCCACAGCGCCACACGGATGCCGTTCACAAATATTTCTACTTGGCTGGAGGGAACATGCGGGTCAGGAGTGGGCCGGAGACTTAGGGCAACGGCGATGGACTTTGGACATTTACAAGGCTCTGTAGTGATGTCCTCCCCGCCCACCCCGATTCAACCAATGACACTTCAGGAAGCTCTCAGGCCACAGCTCTGTATCAGTATCAGGGTACCGATCTCTCTTTAGCATGCACTCGCCAACATTAAAAAAAAGTGTCTAAATTTCTCTCTTTCTCTCTCCATTATTATAAACGTCTTAAGCTAGCAACAGTAAATTTAGCCTATAAACTATGAGACTGGCGATGGCGAGTGACTCTCCCCAGACCTACGTTTAAGTGTCTCATCCAGTTTAATGCAACGACCCCCTAAGAAAAATTATTCGATCTACCATGAGATATAAGGGATGGCAGTTTTGTTTTGTTTTTTAAATAAATGTGAGTCTCCGAGGCGTGAGGAAAGACCACAAAGCAGAAGGTCCACAGGAAACTCTCACTTGAGTTGTCCTTCAATGCTCCATGCCCCAAATAGCCTATGTTTACCAAAGGGGGCTATGAATGCAATCGTTGAACTTATGAGCTGGAACCAACGTGAGAAATAATGCTGTCTAACCCCAGCCTCTTTTAGATGAGGAAACTGAAGCCAGGAGACTCAGTTTTAAGGGACTCAGCACCGAGCACCAGCCAGTGGCAGGAAGCCACGTCTCAACCTGAATGCTCTTCTCCCGTGCCATCAGCGATTGCTAAGTCCCAGCACGCCTGCCGTCTGAGTAAACAGATGAAGGGCGGCACCCCTCAGCCCCCTCCATTCCCTGGAAAAGACATAAGAACCTGCTGGACCCGCATTTCAGAGCCTCGATGTTCTACAACACCGAAGAAAGACAATGTGGCCCCAGAAAGGGCAGAGCGGCCCCTCAGCAGGCTGGACAGGTGCGGGCCAAAGCCCCACCTCTGCCATTACCATCTCTGTCACCGTGCTCGCGATCTGCAAGGCGACAGAGTGCCCCACGTAGGCACATAACAGAGCAGCCCCGTTGTTCTCGGACTGAATGCAAGCCGTGCGCATCTGCTGCCACCACGGGGACACGGGCTGGGAGTCCCAGGCGTCATCGATGGCCACTGCAGGCAAAGTTCAAAAAGAAACTCTTAGTTTCTCGGCTTTTGGGGGGAGGGGGGCAAAATTTCACATTAGACACTGTGATAAAACTAAATTCCCCAGCAAAGTGCCTGTATCTTCCTGAATGAACCAGAAAATCAACCAGCATATTCCATCTGCTCATGCTGTTAGCCATCTTGCCTCTGAATCGAATTTAGATTTTCATCATTGCTGAAATCTACTAGTGAATGTTTCAATAAGTTATTGGTTTTTTTTGTTGTTTGTTTGTTTGTTTTTTAAGATTTTATTGGGGAATTGGGGAAGGGGAACACTGTGCTCCTCCAGGACCCGTCAGCTCCAAGTCAAGCCGTTGTCCTTCAATCCTAGCTGTAGAGGGCGCCCTGCAAGCTCAGTTCCAAGTCCAGTCGCCGCCCTCAATCTAGTTGTGGGGGGGGGGGGGGGAGCAGCCCACTACCCCACACAGGAGTGGAACCGGCAACCCCGCTGTCAAGAGCACGCGCTCCAACCAACTGAGCCATCCTGCTGCCATCGGCAGCTCAGCTCGGGCGCAGCCCACCGGCCCATGTGGGAATCAAACCGGTGACCCTGCCACTTAGAGCTTACGCTCCCAACCAACTGCGTCACCCCGTCAGCCCAATAGGTTATTGTTTTAATCAGACTGAAAATAGTAAGGAAAATATGAACTCTACCAAAGACCGTTTGACTCAATTGCTTCACTGTGTTAGAAAAATACATTGTTCATACCACACTATTTTTTATGATGACGCAAAATATAAACTTAGTGTTCATAACGCGCACTTCAAATGCATCAAGAGCTTTCTCTTTATACACAAAAGAATCTCTATAGTAAAATATGGTGTGTACTGCAGTCTCCTTTTATCTTTTCTCCCTGTTTCTGGGGCATTTCAAGCACTATGCTCTGTCACTGAGAGGGCATCGGCCCACAGTCCCTACCAAGGAGGCTGATTCCCAGTGTCCCCAGCTTTTTACCTTTCATCTTGCTCAGGAGTAACAGCATCCTATAAAGACAGCAGATGGACTGTGGTTTATCCAGAATATCCTTCTCCTTAGAAAGCCAAACACTCAGGAGCAGAGACTGCAATCAAATTTAAAGCTTTTTTCAGTCTAAAACAAATATTTAACATAAACAAAATCTTGCACTTTTCTAGAGTGCACACATGTGAGTGATTCTTGGGCTGGGAAAGAAATGGTTGGTTGTGACAGCTTGTGACATGAAAGGCAGAACAAGGTCCCTCGTCTCCCTAAGAAATTCTTTATCATCTATCAGAGATCTAAATTCCATCATCTTCGTCTCTTTGGTTTAAGCACTGCCTTCCAACTGGAGCCTCCGTGAAGGTCCTCACCTAACATCATCAATAGGTTTTGCGACTTTATGCAAAACGACATATAACAAAACCAACTTCACAACAGGCTAACATATAAACAAGAGTTAAGATTCCTACAGCATCTCATCAATGTTATAACGAAATGACGATGAACACAAGGATGTTATTCGAGGACCTGCTGTATCATGAAGGACACTACTCAGCCACGGGTTTCAGCTGGAGCAGAGCTGAGACCTGGCGTGGGTCTTGGTCACACAAAGGCAGTGGACTTGGCCGTGGGGAGCAGGCAGGTAAAACCATCCAACTCCAAATTTAAATCGCTAACAAGTCATGAGAAACAGATGTTAAACAAAAACACTTCAATCAACGTAAGTGACTTTTAAGATGCCTAGGAGCCAGTGTATCTACTTACATTTGAGGCATTTTTTAGATTTATAGAATTTGTACACAGATAATTCGGGGACAATGAAAAGCTGAACGGCACAGTGTCACATTAAGTGTCGGGGTCTGTAGGAGGCCTGGACTGCTTACATTACATGAGTGTCACGCAAGCAGTATGCTGCCCAATGGCCTAAGATGCACAGTAGTGTGACGCCCTGGCGGAGGAAATCAGTCCCCTACAGGCTCAGGAAATGACAGAGAGGGAGCGGAAGTGGGAGGGGCACCTGCTCCACTGAACCCCAAGTGGCCAGTCCATCTGACTGGCTTCCATGGCGACTCCCAGGACAAAGTGCTCAGAAAGACTGGCCACCCCAAGGGTTATTTTAGACTAAATTATATGCAGACAAATTAAATGCCATGCCTTAGATCTCCACGATCTCTAAGAGTTCATACTATGAACTCTTCTCCTTTTCTAGCCAGCTAACCCCTCCCCCAATCGACCACCACCTTTAGCAAATGCTGAAACAGACCAAAAAACCTGTCCTCTGCTTTAGGTCAGTCCTTCTCAATCTCTCACCCAACCAGATAATCTCTGCCTGTAGCCTAGTGTGTGTTTTTCTTGTTTTTTTCTTAAACTTTAAAAATTCCAATCAGTTAAGCTTTTGTTTGTATGCAGGAGATCACTGTGAAACGGAGAATGTCACAAGGGCCGGCAGAACACAATGATACAATTTTGGAATCACTTACAGGCAAACAGAAAGATTTTTTTAAACTTCAGGGAAAATTAAGGTGAAAGAAGAAAAATAATCGAAGAACAGAATCCAGAGATAAATTAAGCTACCACACAAAAACATAATGGACATACACAACAGGACAAGATAGTATACACGTATAGAGGGTAACTCTCTCCGTAACTAGTACATACAAAATAAGATATCCTTTCAAAACGTATCAGCAAGGAATATCACATTATATTACTCATAATGAGAATTTTCGTATCATAGATTCACACATTCTAAATGTGAATATGTTATTCACATATAGGGGTCACATACTGACATATTATCAGGTGATATTTGAATAACAGACTCAGAATAATAGAAACCTTGAGCGGAAATCTAGTTAATGCCTCTGTTCTAAGTCAAGCAGTACCTACTACTTGTTAAAATGTGCATGTAAGAATGAAAGAGAAAATCCTACGGGTTCTTGGGAGATGCTTTTAATACCTAAGGACTGTACGTTTAGCAAAGTATCCTGCTACAATATTGAAGTCCCCAGTGCTTTACCCTTCACTCAGAGGACACGCTGGCTGACAGAACGTGAGGGGGGCATCCATCGGCCTTGCTTTTCTCCACTTGAAAGAAACCTGTTTTGTCAGTCTTTTGGATGAGTCTTATTTTCTAGTCTTTGCTGAAAACTAGTTTGTTTTACAGAATCTCAAACTTGATGAAATCCTGCTGAGGGTAATTCCAAAGTTTTAAACGTGAAAAACGATCAGCTGTCATCTGTACTACACTAACGTAGCAAAACAGTGACTATATCAAATGTAAGTTTGACAGAAAAATCCGTGGATATAGTACTTCAGAAAACTGTGCAAATTTAAAAATTGATACAACCTAAAGTATCAAGTTTCTTCATGAACATAATTCTGATAAAATTACCATTTATAACATTCAGATTATAACCAGAAAATAGGAAGAGTACGCATTTCAAATAGATTGTCTTCCTAACATTAATAATGCACTTTGCTGAAAGACTGTCTAGTCATGATTTTTTATATGTAAAAGTCTGATACTCTTTTAATACAGAGGGTGCCCCCAAAAATGTATACACATTTTAAGGAAGGAAAAAAACTATATCAAAATTGTAATCCTCAATATATACTGATAACAAAATATGAATACAAGTCATGTGTATACATTTTTTTGGCACCCCCCCGTACAATAGAAGTTTATCTACTATCTTTAAAAACGATTTAAAATAGAAGAATTCAGAAAAATGTTACCAGCTTCTGTTTTGGCACTGGCATGAGCGGCTTTGGGGATGTGCAAGACGTCAGCAGGATGCGTACTGCTGCTGGGGACACAAGACCCCTGCGCTTTATCTTGCTGAGGCCACACGGCTTAGCAAGCAGGCTTTCTGAAAAGCTGGTCTTATCATATATTCAATGACTTATTTTAATTCTAGGGCTTTGTCTTTTATTTTGAGAAGTTCCCCCTGCCCTTCCCACTTATAACTATTAATTGTGTGAAACAGTATTAATGTGTATATGCGCAGGTGGGGGGTAGAAAGAGTGGAGCTGATGATGGTGGGTAACTTCCCTCACCCCTTTTCTGGAAGGACAAAAATGTAGTGCTGTAATTTTTTCCATGGGATGACTCTTTTACCTACATTTCTTATAGCACAGAGATTAAATCCTAACATATATTCAAAGCTTGGGAACGTTTGATAATTCTGTACTGCGTTAAGCGAAGTTAATGTTGTTCTCTAAGATCTTCTATCGTTCTCATGTGATCCTTTTTACTGATGATCATAGTCCATTGTAAATGCACACATGCATGTCAGAGTCTAAATTTATTTTAGGCCAACCATGGAATATGCTTGTCATCATTTACAAGGAATGAGAAAAATAAAATAATATTCTTCATTGAAATATTCTTTGATGACTTTAGAAGGTTTTCATGTATGTCTCATAATATGCTTTAGATACTGGTTAAAAAAAAAAAAAAAAAAAAGACGCTTCCGGATAACATTCAAGGAAGAACAACATCCAGCAACAAAATACCTTACCAACAACAGCTGAGGGCTAAGTCGAGCTGACTCCAGAGTACGACACATGTCCTCAGTGGAACTTTCTCCATGCAAACACTTCCAAAAAAAGAAACTGCCTAGTAAAACCAAAACAAAATGCATTAGCCAATGACTACTTACCATATGGACTAACCATCTTCCTGAATTGCAACCTAGACCCTCAGAGGAACCAAACAATATGAGAGGGAAGACATCAATGGTTCGGTTTGCTTGATTTATTAACACAGAAGGCAACTCATTACACATCTAACACCATCTCTTAAGTACGCTTATTGACACAGCTTGGATGATATAGTACCTACATATCCACAGTATCTTTTGTTGATGGAGAAGTATACATTAGTTCTTTGGTTAATTTAATTTCAAAACCAACCGCATCCTGGGGACGCTGTAAGCGCCTCCCACGCTTGCTTCCAGAAGAGGAAGGATCCCAATTCCACGAGCACTTTATGACCCCACGTACCTAAAGCCACGTACTCCTCTTCACTTATCTTCTTTATGGTGATCGCATCTTTCTCACATTCTAAATATTCCAGGAATGTTTTTATGGGCAACACACCATCCTCATCATCAGAAAATCGGACCGCAGTCCTGGTGTTCTCTTGCTTGTACTTCTCTAATAATGTCTGGAGCTTAAGCAGTTCTTGCTCTTTAAGCCTTAGTAACACAGCCAAGTCCTTAAAAATAGGGGGAAAAGTTCTGAATAGACTGTTTTTCTATGAATCTGCCACATATGTCAACCCCATCATCTGAAATGAAATGCAAGATGATAAGCAAAATATGACTTTTTAATTCATGGGATAGCTATCATGTACTCTGCTTAAAACCTAACTTTCAAATTACTCTACTTAAAACTGGGGTCTTCCATTCATCATTAGGTTATTTAAATAAGCTAATCTAGAAACACTGCATGTTACTAAAAGTACCATTTTTAGAAAGTTACTTGAGATTATACTCTTCTAAAATGTTTGAATTTTAATAAATGTGTTAGTGTGTAATCAGAAAAAAATTTAACGGTGTCAACTGCTACTCTTGTGATTCTAAGGAAATTCAAGAACTGTTGAATAAGACATTGAATCCTTATTTATTAAGCAGCATAAACACTATAAAAGAAAACACTGGAAAACAAGCCTCACTGTATCTACATATGTGGCTCTATGTGGCTCTTAGGGCTACAGAGATTGAAAACTCACAGATACAACCTGCCAGCCTTTCCAACTCGTTTTACACACCATACGTGCAGAAACATCGCCGGATACTTCTATTAGTTTTCTAAATCGGGGACAAGTACACGTACATACACACACACACACGCGCGCGCGCACACACACACACACACACACACACACACACACACTCGTTTAAAAGACCCCAAGTTGACCATAGCAGGCAAAACTTCCTTCCCCCATGTGACATGATTACAGCTGCATTCTTCAACAGTTGTGTTTATTTACTGAAGTCTGCTGCTTTGAAGTTGTTGTTTTGGTTTTTTTTTTCTTTTTTGTTTTTTTTTAGCTGAGCCATCCTGCCACCTGTTGGCAGCTCAGTGGCTGCTCAGCTTGGGCTGGACTCGAACCGCTGTTGCTCAGAGCTCAAACTCTTGAGCGAGCTCTTAACCAACTGAGCCACTCGGCCAGCCCTGAAGTCTGCTGCTTTGAAAAAGAAGTGGTAAACTGCGAAATGCTACTGAACGCATACCAGAAGCTCAATGCTACACTGAATTTACTTCAGGAGCTTATATGCACTGTGTCCCAGAGACAGCAAAAATGAATTACTTCAGATTTTAATTTTGGTTTTGTGCGTACAAAATCAGCCATTCAGCCTAGGAGCTGACTGCACATGTTTTGAAGGATCTAACAAGCCAACAGCAAAATATGGTTTTAATTATTAAAAAGTGCTTTAAAAATAAAAGAGTAAAAAAGAATAAACTGCCAACTGATTTTTAAAATTTTGTAATTCTTTTATCCTTGGCACACTATATTAGGGCTATCAAGTGAAAGTAATTCTATAGGGCATGATTAAAGCCATGTATTTAACTTTCTTTGATGGGTTGAGAGACAGTTTGGATCTCATGGAAAAATCAGGCATTGAAGAACCTATGAAATGTCTAAGCACTCCTATAGACATACGTTAATCAACTTGAACCTTCCTGTTGCTTGCAATGATTTTACACTCTTGGTGAAGTAGACAGAAAAATGAAAGATCCTGAAAAAATGGCTTTGTCATTTATAATGCCAATCACAGAATATTACTGTGAATAGATTATTGTTACAATACTTTATAAAATCCATCTATAATCCCAAAGATAAAAAAAAGATGTTTGAATGAGTGGTTTGTTTCCATTACAGAGAGAAAATGATCTCTAATTTTTGTTTAAAAAATTTTTATTCATGTACAAGTATAAAATAAAGGCTTTCACTAACTTTCAGATATGCCAGATAATTTTCAGATTCACTTGACAGATGACTAAATCACTTTGATAATAACTTCCCTTTACGTAAATAGAAGACTCGAGACCTTGAAGCCAGACATAAAACCAAGGTCACACAGTAATGAAGGAAAGAGAGGATATATTTCTCTCTGTTCCCTATTAAAGAAACTTAATTTCTCTGTATGGAAAGTAAAAATTTTATATACAGTCCTCAGAAATGAACAATACTGCACTGTAATTAAAATTACAAGGTGCTGTCACTTTTTTATGTTTTATAGAACCAAAGCATAGAACATTTACTATAATTATTTTAAACACTCTGCTGTAAGACAGAGTATTTTATAAATGTATTTCATTACATAGTACACGAAGAGCAAGCTGTATGAGTTTGCTAACACAGAAAAAGTCTCTTCTGTTTGGCAGAATCATTTTTGTTTCCCTTAAAAAAAAAAAATTTAAAAATTTTGCAACTTCAGTAAACCGAATATATTTTAATTGGCAAACCTTGTCCAGGAGTGTATTATAAGAAATAACCTCAAAAAACAAGTTGAGCAAAACCAAACGCTTCTCAGGTGGTCTCAATGGATTAACATAAAATTTAATATTCTAGCATGAATAATATAAATTTAGCCACAAGGCAGAGGGAGCCAGCAGGAAGTCTTGTAAAGAAAAGACACCCTCGCACTTCATAAAAATTCTTGATTTTCTACTCTTCGCCACCAATTTAAAAAATTAAACATAAACAGAAATTATTTTGTATAAAAGGATAACTCACATTATCAGAGAATGGTGTGTCTAAATGAAAATCAAGGGAATTTAACTGACTGGTAGATTCATAAAGATGGAGTAATTTCAATTTATTGGCACAAAACTGTAGCAGTCCTTCGTCAACAGACTCAAGTTCTAAAAGGTAGAAAGAAAAAATACATTAAAGAGATATATTTAACAGACTCATAGAAAGACTTTTCTTTCATTAAGCCTCTTAATATTATAATACATAATTCCCTGATGTTCTATTTTATTGAATATTGGGATGCTTATGCTACAGGAGATTAATAAAGCAAAGATAATTTTTCTACCATGGCAAAATATCTAACTTTTTAAATGAAATAAGCTGCTCTAAGAGTAGGGGTCAAAAAAAAAAAAAAAGGAAGAAAATGAAAGAAGAAAAAAGAAAGGATCAGCATCTTAGTCTAATACCCAAATTTAAATAAATGATCTGGAAACAGCTTTGAAAACGTTGTCCCTCACCCCATAACTCATATGCCGCCTGTCAGACTCACACACTGCAGAGAGACAAAATATAAGCTGCCTGGCTCTTGTTAGCATGATGCTCAAAGATATTATAATTCAACCCAAAATGATGGATTGTGACAGATGTATCCTCAAAAAAGGGTGGCAAAGAGACCAAAAGTAGAATTCCACTTAATATCCTATCAATCAGATTTTTTTCAAGATAAATGCTGGAAAAATACTCTCTCTATAATACATGGCTGTATGATAATTTAAATATTTATATCTCATATAAAACAGACACTTATTCTTTTAAAAGGCAGACACTGAAAACCCCTAAGAACTCTTATTTAGGATACAGTAACCTGGAATATTGTCTACATTGTTATAGCCATAATAAGCTTTGCATACTAAACAGTGGAAATTTTTAGGACTCGCATTTACGTGTAAAACTTGTAACTAGTGATGATTTTACAGAACTTCAACAATGGTATTGGGTTTACTCCCAGCCCAGTGCAAGGTAATTTTTTATTTAATGAATGTTGATATTTTGTTAAAGCTTTGCAGGATGGTGGAGGGTGAGGGTGGGGCCTTTATACGTCTACTGTACTTTTTATTTTCTTGATTTGTCTTTGTTGGTTTTTATTTGGGGGCTGGCTGAGCCAAAGGATCAAAACTCTGCCTTTTGCCCCCACCACTCATACTTTTTTAAAAAGGGTGTTTCTAACACACTCTGCGCACTAAAGGAGTTCACTGTTTACCAAAAGTCAGTTTTATATGTGTTGAAAAAAAGACTCTCAAAATTAGGATGCTGAAAGTCTTGAAAGGGCATATTGTGATTTGTTAATTAAGCCACTTTAAGTTGGCTTAAATATAAATATAGTTAATATACAGCTGGCTTTCTATAAGTAACATGACAAGCAAAAAGTCATGACCAGAGAAAGTCAGTACCCTACACACTACAATATAACTGATGTTAGGAAGTCAGAATAAATGGAATTTTGCTAGCTCAGCTGGACAGAGTATGCAGTTATAACCCCACAGTTACAGACACAATTCTCTGCAGAAAAATCCTGAACAGTAAAAAAAAAAAAAAAAAAACCAAAAAAAACCCCCCAGAAAATCCAGAAATAATCATTTAATCACAGTCTGTAATTTTGGAAGTCCTATCTCTTATGAGGAAATGGGTGAGAAGATGTGGACTCCATATATTAACAGTCACCCAATCACAAATCAGAAATATTTTTATTGTTATCTTGGTCAAAATGACATTACTTAAAGAATGCCAAATCTACAAAAATCTCTCTTCCCATGAATAAAACACAACACAACACAGCAAGGAAACCTGGTTGTTTTTGCATACCACCAGCTAACTTCGCCTAATACCAATGGCTTTCAAATGTTCTCCAGCTGTGTCAGAATAATCACTTCTCATCATTCTATACTAGTATCTTTCCTTATAGTAGAGGGATTCAAAGGAAAAATACTGACAGTAAAAACATAATATATTCAGAGAAAGCTCAGGTAAAGATCAACTATATACAATGCACAGGGAGTAAAAAAGTCCCCAAATACTGAAGGTATGACATAAATTTCATTTTGTCTTCTGTATATTATTTTTACATTAAAGTAGCATAGTGGTATCATAAGCAGTGAATAATAGCTTTCTACAATCAGTTATAAAACGTGAAGTGAGAGCATAGCCTCCAATCAGTACAAATCTATTATTACCTTGATTTTTTAAAGTGTCCATTAGAGTCTGAGTGATGTTTCTAAGGCAGGAGAATGGTAAACGTTCACTTGCCAAAATGCTCTCCAAAGCCTAGAACAAAGATATTGAGCAATTCTAGCAATTAGAAGGCAGTGATTTTGTTTTTTAAATTTGACATTCATGCCTACACTTTCGCTACCCTGAGTTTCAAAGGGAAGCTCCACTTTTGAGGTGTTTTAGTGTGAGAATTACACTTGCATCACAAGTAATATGAAATCAATTTCACTTCATGCCTAATATAGCATTAATGACAAAAAGTCAGACAGGATGAAACAATCCGAAGGCAAGGGTGGTCATTCACGTGTGTTTACCTTATTACTATTCTTTAATCTGAATAATGGTATGTACAGATGTGCGTGTATAACACATGCACTTGGATCTTTGGTGATATTATCTAATTTTAAAAAAAGAAAGGAAAAAAGCAACAACGGGAACTGCTACAGGCAATATAAAAAGGATGCACATGAATAAAAACATGAAAAGAAGAACTGAGCCTGTCATGTTCGGAGGGAAATGAGAAAATAAAGATTTTTCTTAAGAGGGCTATGTACTAGCTCAGCAGGAAGTTCATGTATTATATACACTTACTTGTTTTTTGGTTGCAGGGTACTTAATATCAAGAATTAATTCCTTTATTTCTGTCTCAACCAAATCTACAAAGAGAAAATGAACCAAAGTAAATTTATCACTTTTATTAGAGAAAAACTTTATTCTGAAAGAAAAGGGCATATTTTTGTACTATTGGTCTGTTTAAAGGATTTCTGGGTGCTCTCACGTTATTGTTACAACTGTTAACACCTCCAGGTGATGCTTCATCCCGACAGAGCAACGCCATCTAAAAGTACACGTGATTATTTGCACCTCACCTCATTCTGGAAAGCAGCTGCCATAGCTCATAAATGCACTGAAGTGTTTGACTGCTCCATGTAGATTATTCTGTTAATTTGAAATTGACATAACGACATGCTTTGTTATTTTTATGAAAGGATACCTACCAAGATCGGGAGATTTGCTTTTCAGTAAGGCTGCTAATTTCTTCACCAAATGCACGTCCTTGGCTCGTTCACTCTTCTTATCACTAAAACAATAAACACAACAAGTTCTTGGAGAACATGAAATTGTTTTCCTTCTAATTCTGACACTCTAACTTTCATTTTGTCCTTTTTTATTCTTCCTATTTAAAGTATCAGCCTCATGAGGGAAAAAAAACAAGGAAACAACAACTACAAAACAAAGCAAAACAAATAGCAAACGAAGGGACTGGGAAAAGTTAGCAGAGCGACCTCCGGGAGCGGACATGAAATGAATCTTACCTTAGTGCCAAATGGAAAGGGACAATCACAGTTTTCACACTTCCGGACACGGGGTCGACAAGACAGATCTGGTAAGTCTGTGGCTGCCAACTCTGACTGGTGACATTATTTAAGCCCATTATTTTATAGCCAGGATACAGCAGCCTGAGGAAATCACATACCAATATGGCACAGACATTAGAGAGGAGAAAGGCCAAAAGGTGCTTTTACTATAGCTAGGGACCCCGACATGACTATCAATTCAGGAGCATTAACTAGGCAAATAAATACGAGCTGATGCCAAAAACAGAAGTAAAGCAGGACTCAACTGGCAGACTTACCTGGTTAAAATGTGCCAGAAAATTGAGTGAACACAGGCCTATGCCGCAACGGCAAACAAGGCCTTCCCCTCGCTGACCATCAGCAGGGGAGTCAGAAGGCATCCCCTTTCCAGCCTCCACAGCGCAAGTAAGGCAGAGGGACAAACAGCAGCACCAAAGCTAGCTTTAAGTAGCAGCATATCATGGCCTTCTCAGTATGATTTCTTTGTTATTAAGTAATCATATACCAGGCTCTCGCAGGAAAAACCGCAATAAAGAGCATTTCAAGCTCAAACAACTCGCCCAAGAATAAGTAGATGTAATAAGAGTTTCAGGTGAGCAAAGTCTCCCGTTCCGTACCCGGGAGCTGCCAGGCCTGCGGCTTACCTGCAGTGCTTCCCCACGTTGAAAGCGCCCACTCGAGGTCCCTGCTGTGTGCTCCAGACTTCCAAAATGCCCCTCCTTGGCGCATAGATCACAAGGAACTGAGCTACTCGACTGGGACCCTGCGTATTTCCAAAGGGGGAAAAATCCACCTTTTCTGGTACTCTTTCATGGAGGTCTTCTACGATTTGGATCCAACCAATCTGTGCATCCCGATACCCTTGGGAACAGAGAAAAATGGGGAGCTAAGTAGTTAATTAATCTAAGTTCAATAATAGCCTTCTGAAGCGCTCAGGGATATTTTTTGTTGGGGGGGGGGATTAAGAAAAGCTATAAAAACTATGTTATTTTTAAATTATGAAAGACCTTAAACAGAAAATAATAATTACAATAAATATGGGATCAACCATGAAGTCTTATTAAATCTTTATATATTGCTCTATTTGTTTCAGATCACTTTTTTTCCTTTAAAAAGAAAATGAGTAACACTGAAGAAGCCGTCTGAGTACCCTTCCCTGATGACATTCCCCTCCCTCCCTCTTTAAAATGCTTTCTCCCTTTAGATTTAAAATAAAAGTCAATTAAAATATAAAAAAAAGATCAGCTGGTTCCCTGCTATTCAAGTCCCCTGGCAGTAGGCAGGCAGAGGGACAGCACGGGCTGCAGGCTGACAGGAGGAACCGCCTGCCTGTGAGAAGGTGAAGCTGGTGTTGTTGTCATTTGAGGGTGGCCCCGTCACAGGCCGCTGATGCCTCTCTTCCCAGAACAGGGAGGAAAACCGGCTGCACCAGCTGCCGGGAGCTAAGCAACCCTGCCAGCAATAAGAGCACCGCAGCGGATCTGGGCCGGTTCGTGCACCTATGTCTTCTGTGTTCTGGAACAGTCCTGCTGAGAACACACCCTTGACACTACTGGAGAAGGTAAACCCCAAGGAGAAATAATGTATCTGCAACACTGACGCCTATTTCTTCAGAACCTTAAACAGGTGGCAGGTAAACACTGAAGGAGTTATTCAACAAGAGGAGGACTGTCCTCAAAGCCATTACTCCTCACATTGCTAAGAACAGACCAGACTGCACCATAACTGTGGCTTCCAAGCAGTGGTCTGTGCTGACATGTTACTATCCCAGACGACTCCAAATGATACTTTCCCCACTTCTTCCTTAGTCAAGTAGATTTTATGTTGTTCAGCTTGACAATGTGCCTATATGTTTTCATGTCTCCCTTATATTTAGGTATGACCACGTGACTGAGTCCCAGATAATGTTTTATAGAAAAAGGTTGGAGGGACTTCAGGAAAAGATCTTCAAAGTAGACTAACTCAGTTGGCAGTTCTTCCTGGAATGCAGGTAAGAAGGCTGGAGCTCCAGCATCCATTTGCACCATGAGACAACCCTGAGTGGGGAATCTATATGGAAAGAGGCTCGGTTCTGAGAATATCATGGTGATTTCATATCAGTCCTGTACATGGGTCTGTTATTAGCAGCTAACTGCTACTCCCAACTGACATAGTTACCAAGAAGCTAAGTGAACTGGCCCAAGCATATGGATATGGAGGTCAAGTTAACAAGGACGTATTTTGCTGGGTTTTTCTATCTTACACCTGAAAGACGTGGCATTCTAGATTCAGGGAGATCATTTGACTCACGCGTGGCCTTGTGAAGTGGAATGAATGTAGCAGGGGCAAGAAATTGAATTCAGGAATTGACAATGACAAGGAGAATTGAAAGAAGTACATAAAAAAGAGGTGAAAAGTGCCTAAGTTCATGAAACTTAATGGATAAATCAATTGGACTAGTGGATCAAGAGTTGCTGATCCGAGTTCATGTTAAAACAAGAAAGTATAAACATAAAGAACTAAACAATGTTATCAACCAGAAGCTAAAGGATGATAATGTTGCTCAACTATTGGGGTAAAAAGCTGATTAACTTCTCTTCTGGATTTTTGTAAGGAAGTACCTTTCCACATGCGTATTGCAATTCCTCTAGTTACATCCAATAAAATAACTCTGCCAAAATCATCTGTTACTGCTGCCAGTGTGTTACATGGAGACAGACATATGCTTTCACCGTGGCGTCTAGAGTCTGGAAGTCCAAATCTGATATTTAAAAGAAAACAAGAAACTCAAATCACATTTCAATACAGAAATAGGTAACAGAATAATGAAATGAATAAACGAAATAGGCTGACTGGGCTTTTATATGAAGAAATATGAGCCTCGCATGGACTAACAGGTAATTTATTACCTGCTCACATCTCACACTCTGCATTATAAAATACATAAAGAAGGCTCTTCCATTATAAATCAAAATATCTGTGTTTTATTTCATGGGTTTTTGATACAGATATCCACAACTTTGTATTTTTAAGAGAATATCAAGTACGTTGTAACTATCTTTCCTTGATTAAGCGGTATGTCAGAAAACAATACCCTCACAACCAACTAATTTTAGAATCTTTGGTCCTGCACAGGCATCTTTGTCTGTTTTGTCCTTACTCCTAACCTGTTGCTCTTTTTGCTAGATTCCATATCTTGCTGACACCACTGTTATCAGCCTGAAGCAAGAACTTTTCTTCTTCTAATGTTATCTCTAAACTGCTCTGGAAAGTCATCAGTTTTCTCAGAACTGAGAGTAAAAGGAAAGTAGAGGTTCTGACAAAGGACCAGGAGGGCTCACTTTGACAAAAGTCCCTGAGACAAAGTGCTTAAACTTGGTTACATGTGTCTGGGATGCCCAGGGCCATTTGGCTTATTTCTAGATTCTTGGGTGAATTTAGAAAGGTGCCGTGCTATAATATTTTTAAATAAGATGAAAAAAACCTTAGAAGATAAACTTCCACAAATTTTAATAACAGATAATGAATTACATCTCTTTAAGTGAATACCATGTAAAAAAGGGGGGGAGGTTTCTATTTCCCTTCGGGTGGTACTTTATACCACAGAGGGCAAAACTCCCCTCTGCCCCCCAAATCTGACAAATGACACACAACAGCCCATCGCACCTCTGAAGTAAGCAAGGAAGCACGAGGCAGCCTTCTGAAGAGGGCTTGAATGCACGTGACTCCTGTTTATTTTTCTTAAAGATATCACTAAGTACTGTTGAAATTTATACAGCTTACTGACAAACTGCCTCAATTGTTAAAAAAGAAATTGATCAGCTATCACATAATTCATTGTCATGCAACCTAAGCTAAGTGTATAGGTCTTTGTAAAAAAACAAAACAAAACAAGACACAAATACACACTGAGCACTGGCGACATGACAGGGAGACAGCAGTGAATCAAACAGGCAAGAGCTACTGTCCTCGTGGGATGTACATTCTACTGGAAAAAACATCCCATATTAATGACTTTTCAGAGGCTCCAAAGACTCATGTGATTCACTGACCACACTGGAAGACCATAAATTTAACAGTACATTTCTAAAAATACGAAAGCTTGAGAAGAGCACGACAGACTTGCCTTACAGCTAACGGGGTGGCTGGTTCAACCTTCGGCTTTTGCTTTGGTACAGCTTCCTCTTCGTGCTTGCTTTTCCAACCGAGCCAGCCACTGAAAAGAAAGAACGTGAGAATAAAACCAGTTCCCAAGTGCAGACTAGCAAATTGTAAGGTAAAACCAAGCTCGATAAATATGAGATGGTTTTTTTTTAATGTAATTGTTAGGTGATTACCTGGCAGCATTAAATAAAGCAGAAGTGAGTTTACTGGCAACTGCTAGGGCAACATGTGACAATAATGGTTGTGTGCTACCCTGAAAACAGAATATTTGAGAGAGAAAAGTTAGCTTGTCTGACAAAGGAACAAAATACACATTCTAAACAAGGCTTACTCTAAAAAGTTTGAAAAGCTGTAAAGCCTGAACTAGCAAGAACTATGAAGCTTCTTTCAGAGGGTACAGTAAAAACTTGATTTTAGGAGGTAGCAATATCATCAAAAAGTTTCACCTCTACTGTTTAAATGTAAAAATCAACAGTAGCCTATTTTAGCCTTAAGATTTCCCTCTTGAAATTGTAATTTAATCTTAAAAAATTTAAACTAGGACATTAAGATGGCATTGTTGTAACAGGGCTATAAATTTCCCATCTATACACAGCTGACTCTTCCCCTCCTCGTTTCTTTTTTTTTTTTTTTAATATATTTTTACTGAAGTGAAAGGATAGTTTGGACAATTCTGAGAAGGCTGCTTTTTAAGTGAGAAATAAGAGCTGCCAGATCTAACACCTAACTTGGCTATAAATTTCCCATCTATACACAGCTGACTCTTCCCCTCCTCGTTCTTTTTTTTTTTTTTTTAATATATTTTTACTGAAGTGAAAGGATAGTTTGGACAATTCTGAGAAGGCTGCTTTTTAAGTGAGAAATAAGAGCTGCCAGATCTAACACCTAACTTTCACCTATTTTAAGAAGCAATTTTCACCACTTCTATCAACTACAGTGGGCAGCTTGTTCTGTCTTCACAATTCCTCACTGACGCAAATCGCTGGTGGTGAAGTCATCAACAACCTGGAGCGTCTCACTATGGCACCAATACTTAAAGGCAACTCAGCTGTCCAAGAGCTCGGGGCGTCAGAAACAAAGAAGTGTGTCTGTTTTACACTGACTCTAGTACCTTTTCAGTTAGTCTACAGAATTCAGAGAAGAAAGTGGTTGGGATTCATTTCAGCTTAAACTGAAACGTAGAAACGAAAACTGCTTCATCTTTCTAAGGCTACGTTACCACATCCCTTTTGTAGACAAGGTGAAAATCCCACTTGTGCCCTCTATGATCAGGGATGAAATTCTTACCTCTAAAGCATAGAAGAAGCCAGTAAATGGATTGGACCCTACAGTGATATACTGAGACATGGCGGGTGGGCTGTTTTTAATTGTTGCATTAAATCCACCTATATTGGAGGCAGTCTTCATTTGATCAAAAGGGGACAGCGTCATGATACCTAATGATAAAACAACAACGCATGACTCGAATGCACTGAAATGACATTGTCATTGTAGATCATTACATGTTTACTTCACTTCCATTCTGAGATACTAACTGCTTAATTTTATTTGACAGACAAAAGTCATTTTTAAAAGCTACAAAATCAATGTCTTAACATAGTCACAAGATTAAAATTGTCAGCTACAATTTGTCTAAGTTATACAATATACATCCTATCTTTGGGGCCTCCTCTGTGACGGTGCTATCCTGCACCCATCTCTTTAGGTAGCTGGCTCCTTCCTGTCCTTCTGTCTCGGTCTGAATGTCACCACCCTGGAGAGGCCTTTTCTCACCTGTCTACCTATAGTGCCCTCTTCCGTTACTCTCTATCATAACGGGGCTGATTTTCTTCACGATGCACACTGGCATTTTGGTATTATTGTATTTATTCATTTGGTTTAATTGTTTACTATCTGTCTGCTCACCACGATGTAAGCTTCCTCAGGGCAGGAGTCTGTCTGCCTTGTATTTCTAGCACCAATATTAGCTCCTGGGATATAACAGGTAGTTGTTTCATTCATCGGTTGAATGGACTCATTAGACCTTTACATAAAGTTCACTGCACTTGCTTTCATTTTGTAGGCTGGGACATAAATGAATAGAGTTGTATTTTCTATCCAATTCTTTTTCCTAGCCTGTTTCAATGTTCCAAAGTTTAATTAACAGAACAGGGAAGAGACCCTGAACTAAACTCAACACTTTGGAATTTTGCAGCATTTTTACGTTAGCAAAAAAGTAAAGATGAACTGAACATCTGCCAGTGAGGTGCTTCTTACAGAGCATTCCAGAGAGTGCTATGCTACCGTACACACAGATGATGTGACGCCTGCCTCTTCTCCCCGTGTCTTCCCCCGGGCCCGTGTGTGCGTAGGTGACGCGGACTTCAGTTGGCTCAGACAGTGGGAAGCCCCATCGGAAGATCAGAGAGAAAGGAAAATGAAGTCTACTCCCGTGACCAAAATTCCATTCCTCAGCAAGTGCCAAATATATCTCGAACCTGTCTCCCTGTCCGACTCCACTGCCTCTACCCCAGACCAGCGTGCTCTGAAGGTGCAGGTGGCCCCAGGATCCAGAATTCCCCGGCCCTCATCCCTTTCAGCCTCGGCGTGGGTAACAGCGGAACTGTCACCAAGCCCTGAGATGCTGCACCAGCCCTGCGGTTCTCCTGTCCCACATGTTTATAAACAGTCTCTCTCAAATAAAGCCCCTTTCAATTATCCTGTTTCCAGGGTGCCATCTGTCTTCCATTAGGACTCTGGTAAAATGTATATTTAAGCAAAATTGATGTGAAAGTCTCTTCCAAATACGTTGATTAGAAAAGGGCTATACCAGTTGGTATGATATAATCCTATTTATGAAAACCTCTCTACATAACCAGACACATATCACACACACAAGTCTGAATGGATGTTTGCTGCCATGTCCATGGTGAATATCTCTAAATGGCAGAATTTAGCGGGATATAGTTTTCCTTTTCTCTGTACATATTTATGTACTATTTGAATTTTTTCACAAGCAAATACTATACTGAAACACGGAAAAAAATACATATTTAAAAACAGCATTTCCTTCTTCTGCACCCCCACTTCTACTACCTTAATTCAAAAGCCCACCAAGATCACTATTTCTAGCCTTGACCCCGACATCGCAACCTCTACACTCCCACCAAAGTGATTTTTCTAACAGGCTAAGTGGTAATTCATTCCCTTGCTCAGACCTCTTCCATGGCTCTCACAGGGCTAGGAGAAAGGTCTCGGTTCCTCGGCGTAGTATATACCAAGCCCTTCAAAATCTTGCCCCTGTTTATATACCTGGCCAGTTCTCCTTGGCGCCCATGGTTTTCCCAGCACACAACGCACTCCCACCCGCAGGACCAGTGGCTACGGTGCCTCCCTGAGCTTGTTCTCTTAGTCAAGTCTTGCTCCTCCTTTCCCTCTCATCTTCCCGAACTGGCTCAGGGCTGGGGGCTTCTCTGCTCCCACCCACTGGCCCACTTATCTACAAAACAACCCTTACGCCGTATGTATAGTGCGTGTCTCAGGTTTCTTCCAACCAGACTCATGCTTCCCGAAAGCAGAGACCATGTCTTTTCGTCTCTGTATTTCTGATGCCTAACACAGTAAGCCTTCAAATGCCGGTTACAAGGAGAAATCTGCATTTATCTGTATCCTGCTGGTCTAAAGGTTACGTTTTTAAACAGCTAATCCATACAGTAATTACATGGATTAAACCCGCGTGCAGAAAAATTAAGTCAAACAGTGACTGATTTAAAACTACACAGTCCTGCTGCAGAGGGCATAATTATGACAATTGTTACCACTTCTCAAAGCCATAATCCCATGATAATCTGTAAATCTGAACACCTTCCAAGTGCCTCACTAAAGGCAATGCATTTTCTTTTCACATAAGAATAAATCTACATTCCTAATCAATGAGATACTTCAATCAAAAAGTACCAGAAGTAAACACCAAAAGAAATGAACTAGTGATGCTTACCAATACTAGCATGATCAATAATAGTGTCAATATCTTGTAGACCCCATTTCTTATAAGCTAATGGTGGTGGTTGTATGTTCTCGTTGCCTGATGCTGCAGCTGTCAAAGACAAAAATGAGACAGACCAAACTTAACTATAATTGGATAAAATGAAGTTTTATAGAATATCATGAAAAATGTATAACTTCATTTATTATTCTAAAATTTCAACTAATAGGAATGAGACAAAGTAAACAAGGCATAAAGCAAGATTTATTCACGCCAAGACAATGCGCATAAAATGCAAACATTAAAAAAAAGGTGGATGTCCCAGGAGATTCTGGAACATTCCAGTAATTAGAGAAGATAATTAAAAAGTCTGGACTGTTACTAAAAATCAAGGCGAACTCAAACCGCAATTGAAGCGAAGTAAGCCATGTCCCCCCACTTGAGAAAGACAGTGGATAAAATCCTGGGGACAGCCTGTGCCTTCTTCAGTGAAAAACTAAAACCCTGATGATACGCTGGCAGGAGTGCACGCACAGCGAGGTCTCTAAAGCAAGTGACCAAGGCCAGGCTTGACAAACAGGTATGTTAGCAGCGGTAGCACTGCCAGAAAAAATTACTGAAATGCCCATCATGAACCTCGGTATTTCCACCTAGTGAGTGGAAATGAAAGGAGAAGCAAGTTACACCTCTTGCTATAGGTTCATGTTCAAGGACCCGTTATCAATAAATCTCATGCTACGTATTAGAATACAGCAGATTCTGGCAGCTTATTCTGGAAAGTGAAGTACTTTTCAAAAAAGAAAAATATAATCCTCTAAGCACTTCTGGCTTTAGAGTAAGGCCAGGAAAGAATTTTCCTGTCTTGTGAAACAAAAGTCACAACTTGTGGCTGAGTCATTAGAATTCTTTTTAGAGCGACTTAACCGTAAGAGTGCACTAAATGGTTTAAGTACTTACTTCCCAGGAGACAAAATGGCTTTCTGGTCTTATACTTAATAAACCGGAATTCAAAAATAGTAAAAATTAAATGGCTGACTATACCAATTACAACATATTGTCTATTTCTAGTTTATTTTATTGATAGAATCCTTACCTACAAAAAAATTGCCAGTCTCTCGGCATATATATTAATGGTATCTATTTTAAATGTCCTAGATAATGAAGTTTATAATGGGCTAAATTGAAATAATTTTTAAAATTATGAAAACAGGTAGAAAAAGTCAAATTCTGACTTAATTAAAAAACATGTTCTATTAGAGAACCACATAAGCAAGACTTCAGAGTTTTACCAATCACATCAATTTGCTAAAAAGGCAGTGAAAAATACTCTACTGCAACAGAAGATGCTGAATTTTTCCATAGAAGAAATTTTTTATATTGCGTCTTACCGTCTAGTTCTGGATTTATGAACAGCCTTAAATCAGCAACATCCTAATTAACCTCTATCTTCAGGGAGCTCTCCAAATCATGTAAGAGTTAAACGTTGTTTTAGGGTCACTGCGGCCCTCCCCTAACCCAGAAGAAAAAGGGGGAGTCGGCACTAATACTGGTATTTTCTCTGATTTTAAGGCTTTTTTTCCCTTTATTTTAACATCTTTAAAGCAGGGATCTTAAAATCCATGATGTGTCTTTCACGGGCAGCATTTTTGCTTCTTAGTGGTACATAAAATAACAGTGAATCTTGTAATCAATGGCCTCTGAAATCTGATGACACACAATATCCTCTTTCAAAAATATAATGGCATCAGGAGGCAAACTAAGGGTTGTAAAAGTAAGAATTCTTGATTATATTTGCACCCTTTTACCCCCAAGCCTGGAAACAATGTAGTTGCTTGTATGTACATGACCTTTAGGCCTCTACCTTTTCTCCATTCACAAGAGCCCCAAGTTGGCAGAAAGGAGCTGGTGTGGATGCCCCATTGGGCCCTGCCCACCTTGGGGGATATTCCCCCTGCACACGGTGGCATCTTTGCCCTCAGTGAGGATGGAAGCAATGTGGAATCACAATATTTCCGTAGCCTGGCCCAATCGCTGCTGATCTAGTGAGGAATCTGGTTGCTCAGCTAGATGAAACTAAACTCCTCACCCCAAAGCTGATTCTCAACACAGCTGCTAATCTCTCTCTTCACGGGCCATGACACTGCTGAACTCGTGCATAAAGCTCTTGTTCCTGTGCTGGTCACATGGCAGCATGTGACGGGCGCTGCGGGTCCAGCCCTGGTCTTTATTTACTAAACAGCCTGCTTCTACAGCAGCGGGGTTGTCCCCTTACATCTAGTTTGAAGGCCTTTTAATTTAGAAGACACAGTTAAATCTCTAAGTAGGTTAAATTGAATAAGACAAACATCATTTAGAAGTTAGATATCTCTTGCCAAATAGTTACCTTTGGCTACCTGATTTCGACAAGCACGGAGAGACTGGAAAAGGCTAAATCCGTCAATAGTCACAATGGCAGCTGGATATAAGATACTCAACTCTTCATTCTATCAGGGAAATAAGGAAGAAGCAAATAGTGACTTTTCATCATTGCCAAATAAGTGTATCTATTTTTCTACTATCGCTGAATGTCATGATTAATGTAAAATAAAACATACTAGGACTAAACAACTGCCCACCACCAACACCCAAAGCAGTATCAGGCAGAGAAATGGTAAAAATAAATGGGAAATTCATTTCAGAATGCCTTTGACCAAGGACTTAAGATTTTTCTCAAATATGAGCTTTTTGTTCATGGTGAATAATGGTTTTAGGATAGATGGTGAGATTAACAACAACAACAAAGAAAACCGGTACAAGTTTCATAAAAATGAAATACAGTCATTGTGCAGATATAAACAATATATAAAAGTAGAAAGAAGAAAAAAAAAACTCACTTGAAAACCCTGGCAGGTCTCTATACATATCCTCACATATAATCATACACTTTGGTATACTGCTATACCACATATAGTGCTCCAAAAATGTTTCAATTAGTCAATAACGTCACCATTTCTCCATTTTAATAAGTGAATTTTTCATCATGCCTCTACAGTGTTGCATTAAATGTACTAAAATTCAGTTAACCAGGCCTTACTGACGGACATTCAGTTTGGCCTCCTGCGTCCACTCCTGCTGTCTGCCATCCATGCCCCACGCAGCCAGCGTGATCGTCTGGGACAGAGCAGGTCAAACCACTTTCCTGTTTAAACTCTCCCATGGCTTCCTTCTGCATTTAGAACAAAGCCTGAACTCTTTAACCTGTGAGGTCTCTAATGTCATCTCACCTTTCCCCCCTGGCTCCTTGAACAGGAAGGTCACCATCACCTCGGTGCATTGCATGTGCCTGGCCCTTCACCTCCCAGATCTTCCTCTGCCTAATTTCTCATCATCAGGTCTCAGCTCAAATGCAGCCACTCAGAGAGGCTGTCCCTGAGCTTCTCTCCCCAACAGCCTCTCCATTCCCTCCCCGCATCACCATTGCATCCACACCATGACTTCCTTCACAGCTCCTATCAGAGACTGGAACTATCTGGCACTCCTAGTCGTTTATGGTTGGTTTTCCTCCATCACCCCCAAACCGTAAGCCCCATGAAAGCAGGGACCTTTTGTGTCTGGTTCACCAAAGAATTCTCAGTAATTATATGAATGCATTAATATATTTTCATGATTATAAACATCACTGCAATACATATTCTTCCGTACATATCTTTTCACATTACTTAATGTAAATTCCTTCTAGCTGGGTCTGCTGAGTCATAGAGTATTCACAATTTTTCATTTTCATCCATATTATGAAACTGCCCTCAATAACACACCTATCAATTTTATACTTCCACCAATAATCATGCATGTGCCTGTTTCTCCATATTGACACCTACAGTCTGTTCAGCTTCATCTTTGCCATCGGAAAGGTGAAAAGTTATCCAAATGTAGTTGCTTGTAGTTCTTAGATTAAGTTTCAAAATTTTACCATATGCGTTTTGACCAATTAGATTTCTTCTGTTCAGAAGTGCCTTGCCCCTTTTTCCTACTGGACTGTTGAGCTGTTTCCATCTTTAAAAGCTCTGTAGGCGATGAGAGGTGGAGGCCGGGGGTAGGGAGCCGGCAGGTTCCCTGAGCAAGACAGCTGAAGACAGCCTCCTCACTGACATGGCACATCATTCCCTCCCAAACCACACAGCCTTCCTGAAGTAGCTACTCATACAAACGCCAGTGGTCCAAAAGCTGCAGAAACTGCTAGATCTTTGTGCAGAACTCACAGCAGAAGCAGCTTCTCTGACATTCCAGAAAGATCTCTCTTTGGAATCTTCTTCTGCCACTCTGACTATACTCATAGCCCCTAGGATGGAATTAGAGGAAACTTGCTCCCATTTTTTTTTTTTTAAAGATTTTTATTGGGGAATTGGGGGGATGGGAACAGCATTGGGGAATCGGGGAAGGGGAACAGACAAGTTGCTGTTGTTTTGTTCTTCAGTCTAGTTGTGGAGGACGTTGCTTCGCTGGCCCAAGTTGGCACCATCACTGCACTCCTCCCAGGCGAGGCAGACCAGTCGCCGGCTTCTGGACGGCCGCTCACTGTGGCTGCTGGCTACACATGGTAGCCCAGCTCCAGGTCGAACTGCCATCCAGCATCTCAGCTGTAGAGGGCAGTGTCACCGGCCCTCATATGTGGGATCCGAACCGGGGCCCTCTGGCGTCCCAAGCCAGCTCCCAACCATCGCGCCACTCGGCCGGCCCAACTTGCTCCCATTTTTAATACATCTGGGAGTACACTGAAGAAGTGAGTGGATATTTCTGATATGTAAGCTGATGTATCAGATCCAGAGATGCTTCTGTAGAATACAGAGTAACAAGGACTTCCTTCTCCATGTTCAATAAGAATTATTTTTCAGCTGAAAGATTTTCTTGACTCACACAGCAAATAGTAAGCATTTAAATATTAGTTATATTTTTCCACCAGCTCTAAAATAAGAGTATTATAGACATAATCAAGTTCAAAGAACCTTCACCATCCAGAGAATTTGTAGAGAACTGAAAAACAGCTCTTGAGAAGTATCTTCAATGAACAGGTTCTCTTCTTGTATTTCTAACAGCTTCTTCTTTATTTCCGTCAGCAGTTCCATTTTCTCTTATCTCCTTGTAATGAATATTACTAAGACCTGAGTCTTCGGCCTTCGGTCTTACTTTCCTATACCCTTTACCTGGAAGAATTCGTTCATTACCTATGACTTCATCCTCTTCAACCTCGTCTCTGTGCCTAGGTAGTAGTAGTTCGGTATCATTACAGGCATGCTGGTACTTTCGTTTTATTTCCTACCATTGCCTCAAACTCAAAACCAAATTTAATAACCTTTATTTCACACCAGCAGTCCCCTCTTCCAACTTTGTCAATGCCACTCCTCAGGATGGGTATCTTAAAGCCACGTCTTTTTTTACTTTAGTATTCTACATCTCTACATGATAACCAAGTCTGTCAACTGTTCCTTTAAAATGATTTTTGTACTGGTGCTTTCTCACTTTCCACAGCTATTTTAGTCCTGGTTCCTAAGTGGACATCTATTACAGATAAAAAA